TGTGACGTAACGCACACTAATGCAAAACGTAACGTCTCGTGACAAGCTCGTGTTTCATCGTGAGGCGATTCCGTTACGACTTTGCATCATTGCAGAATGAGCGCTTCTTTTTATTATTTTTATTTAATCTTTATTGCCTTTACAATGCAAATGGCGGACTTAATTCCAGTACGGCATTCTCTACCAGTCAACCGGAAAGAAGATGCAGAGAAAATAAAACGGCAGACAACGAAGAGAGTAAACATCAAACAATGATTAAAGCGAAATTTAATAGCATTAATTACTTACACATATATATAAATATACAATATTACTAGCTGACCCAGCGAACTTCGTACCGCCATAACAGGGGCAGGTGGTAGAAGAGAAAATTTAGGGTTGTAGTTATTTTTTAATACCACATTATAAAAAAAATAAACGTAGTCCTAAAAAATTTTTAGGGATGTGTAACGTAGTGTTCTATCAATTTCCTGGGATAACATTCCTCGTAACCCATATGAGAACACTACGTTACAATTAGGGATGCAAAGTCTTTTGAAATATCGATATTATATCGATATTTATATCGAAGTCAGGAAAATATCGATATCCGATATATCGACCATTTTAACTCGATATTATCGATATATCGATATTTTTTCTTTTTTTTATAAACATTAGAATACTGGGTGATATGACACATTCATATGTTTGTTGGCGAGTTTCTCGCAAAATGCATTGAGCCAGCTTTTTCTTTAAACACGCTTGATGACATCGCGCCAAGCAGGATTTTTTTTTGGCTCGTACGGTTTGTGTTTCAGCCACGACAGGAAACCAAAAAATTAAAATTATTATCCTGATCAGATCACTCACATTTGTTAGCACGAATGCGCCAACCCGCATATGTGGGACGACATTTGCGAATGCCTTCGCTAAGTTTTCACTACATTCGTGCTTTTCCAAGCTATGTCGGTTTTTTAACGCACATCAAATACGCAAATTGCTTAGTCTCCCACACATCAGGGGCGTGCCCATGGCTTCAGAATAGGGTAAGCCTAAAGTTTCAAAAATTACTATACCTATCTTACTTTCTTGACTTGGCGAGCTTAAAAGTTTACGATTTGTATAAGATTCTTAATTTTATTTTGTGTTATATTACAATGATATTTAATTTTAATTAATCAGTAGTTGACAATTATCTAGAAAGAGAGGCAAGGATTTTATTTAAGTGCATGAGTTACCATTATGTATACGATTATACCTATATACGTTGGTGTCGATTCTGGCATGATTACCTAAACTTAAAACTAAATTTAACATCAGTCTCTCCTTGTCATTCTGTGTAGAGAATGACAAGGATACACTGTTGTCAAATTTAATTTTAGGTTGAGAGAATCATGCCAGAATCCACACCAGTTTAGTATATTTCTTGGGGTTCAAGATTTTTTTAATACATCTATAAGCTCTTGCGATTTCAAATCAATAGTTATTTCGATATTATTCAATTTAGATAGTCATAGCAGGTAAATTAATTGATATTATTGTGTTTAAATTTAGTCTACGAAATATCGATATTTTGGAATTTCCGATATCGATATTATCGATTTCAGTGAATTTTAAATATCGATATAAATATCGATATTTTGGTCTCGATATTATCGATATTATCGATATTCCGATATATCGTTGCAACCCTAGTTACAATACCCAATAGTTTGAATTTTGGCGCGAAGGCGCATTGTAGGTTTCAGAACACTACGTTACAGGTGGACAACCATTATTACTTAAGGATATGAAAAATAGATAGTAGCCGATTCTCAGACCCACGGAATATACATATAAAATTTCATAAAAATCGGTCAGGCCGTTTCGGAGGAGTATGGTAACTAACATTGTGACGCGAGAATTTTATATATAAGATTACATTAGTTTTATTACTCTTTATAATGCAATAAACTCTTTATTCATCAGATTCTCCTACGCAAGATCCTCGGCCCAAACACAGACCTTCGGAACGGCTTCCTAGACGTGAACTTAATACTCCAATATTTAAGACACGTGTTATCACACTTGGAGCCCAGAGACGAGAAACCGAGTATAAAACTGAAGACGCAGCATTGTTTCAATCTGCACATTTCTGGATGTTTTTGTAAGCCAGGGTTGGTATTAGGGAACTCAAATTTGTCCGCTGTGTCTTTTCTTAAATAAATAATAGTATATAAAAAGTATACACAGATCGATTAATACAGTAAAGAAACTGATTAATATTCAGGTAAATGAGTTGAGACTTGAGTTGTGATATGATAACCGTAAATGAAAATGAAAAGTTTGCCTATCTAAACAAAGTTTTCTATTAGGCATTTCGAAGATGCTTACACATTTCAACGAAACGAGTTTGATCTTTAAAAATATTTTCTATTACAATTTGACGACCTCCGTGGCCGAGTGGTTTGTACGCCGGGTTTCATGGTGTCACCGACTCGAGAGGGGTTCGAATCCCGGTGGGGGCAGATGTTTGTGTGATGAATACGAGCATTTGTACTCCAGTCATGCATGTTTAATATGTATTTCTATATAAATATACTTATATATGTACTGTATATGTATTCTATCCGTTACCTTAGTATCCCATAACATAAGCCTTTCAGTGCTTACTTTGGGGCTAGGCTAATTGGTGTGAGTGTTGAAAATATTTATTATTTATTTATTTGAAACGTGTCATGAGAGCAATTTAAATTAGACAATCACCCAGGCGATATAATACAATACAGAAATACTGGCCAAGTACTAGTCGGATTAGTATATGATGGATTCTGTAAAGACATCATTAGGCTTCACATAGTTTTGATATTTCTGTAAATCCCAATGACTGCATCACAAATGTTATTAACCTTGTAAGATAGTACTGTACGTGTCGAGTGCCTGACCGACACAGACTTTCGACTGTATTTTATAAAAATAGGGGTAAAATAAAGCGGCTATAGGTTTGCAATATGCATGGAGAGTAACTCAACATTGTCTATCTTGACAACCTTATACTCACTGTTTAAACATAATACAGGCAGTCCTCGTACTTACGGCATGTTAGGTTCTCGAAATACGCGACGTGAATCAAAACGACGTAAGGCGAGACATCCCCACGGACGCCGGCCCTACGGACATTGACCTCGCTACAAGTGAATTCTCCTATGCCGGATCGAAACAATTGACGTATGCTTTAGGAATAGTGTCAAAACATAGTACGACGTAACTTGAAACGACGTAAATCGAAACGACATTAGTCGAGGACTGCCTGTACCGCCAAATAATAATTTAGGCTGCAGACGGGCGTCCTAATAAGGGTGGCCAAGATTGGTTTTGTTGATCATGTCCGATCTTTCCAATTTCCGGTAGGTCTTTTAATCTAAGGAGAAATAGACAATAAGATAATAGATGTCCAGCTTTTAAGTTCCTATGCCCGGCCTAATTCAGCACCAAGCCCCGCTATTGTATTTTACAATATAGCAATTCTTTCGATACGGCAGGAAAATAACATGCGTTATATGTCTCACATCTTAATTTTCGTAAATCGTATCGTAAAAAGTCAGTCAGACGACGTAAAAAACCGATAGTATTATAAAAGTCAACCCCTAGTTAAGAATTATTAGATTCTTAAAAACATTGCTTCTTGTTTCAGTTTTATAGAAAACTCTGGGCGTTGTGTGGTACCAGCAAATTGCTCAATGGAAGACGTACACGCGAAATATTTGGATCGAATATTTGTATATTAATTAACAAGTCATGTGTTATTACTAGTATTACTTAAACGGTATTCATTATTTAAATGATTTTTTTTATTATTATTAAATTGCAATAAACTATTACAGATATTATAGTGCCGTACACATCTATCGGCCTGCCTTTTTTTTGTTTTCTTGTCTGGAAAATGCTTTATGCATCCTTCAACCACCTGGGGAGCGAGAGGAAGGCATGTGGGACTCCTCCCTGCTCATTTCATCTAGCCCTCGGCCTCGATGAAATGTGCAGGGCACTACCTACGCCCTTAACAGGGTCACTAAAAACCAGACAATACTCCTGCACCGGTCACCCGACACGCAATCTATCAGCCTACCTAACATTTTTTTGTTATCTGGTTTTGACGGTACCCAGCTAATATAAATAGAACATTGAGCAAAAAATTTTTACGCACTTTAGAAGCTAATTCGTTAAACATCTTTTTCCTGGGTTTTTAAAAATATATTATTATTGCTCAATCTAACTAAATTATATTTTTGCTACAGACCATTGAAACTTATAACACTAAATGGGCTGATAGATGTGTCCGGAAGTGATTTAAAATAAAATAAAATACGTTTATTTCGAACCAGAGTCCATATAGTGTTATAGTAACAATGGAAGCTTAAAAGTATGTTAGTACAATTCAAACTCGATCGACAATTCGAATTCGATTTACACACTATTATCAGCCTATTAATGTCCCCACTACTGTGGCACAGGCTTTCCTTATTGATAGACCTAGGAGATTGGGTTGCGGGGCCTACCGCCTATCGGAACTACAATAGCTATAGTTTATTTTATTATTTTTGCACGCCGAAGGTTTTCAAATGCCTCACGATCATATTATAATACAAAATAAAAAAAATATATATATACATATGTGCAATATATAGATGTATGCTCATATACATAACTCATTTTCTAGCTATAAGAGAAAGAAAGAAAATGTGCGCGCGTACTGCTTTCTCTTGCTTATATCCCCCACTCAACTTCTGTTCGCCTCGCCCGAACACACTTTTCGTAACGCGTTACGCATTCACCACCTTACAGAAGGAACAAAAGGGACTCGAACCCGCATCCTCCGCTATCCGGGCGGATGCACTGACCTTTATGCTACTGTGCGGGACAGAAAGGAATTTGGACTAACGATTTTGTTGTCTTCGATAGCTTTTAGAGCAGCGCTGGTCTGCCTGTATTTTCCTAAGTTTCTTTATAAAAGAATTTTCACTTTAATAAATACTCACTTGTGTGTATAAGTTTGTGACAGCTTAGCGAGTAGGCAGAATTGAAGGCCTTGCCGCAAACGTCGCATACATTAGGTTTCTCACCTGCCAAACGAGAAGAGATTAATTAATAAATCTTAGCTAGCTGCGTTCGGTATAAAGGGCTCAGTCTAGTAAAGCCTTGTTAAAAAACCAAAGACAATACAAAAAAAAACGAGCGAGCCTTACAGTAGTCGCGTATGATGTGTAACATTTCAAACCTCACCTTGTATTAGTAAGAAAAGAAATAAAACCTACTACAAAAGGAATAAGCCATTTGAACATTATGTTCTAAAATCAAATCATATAGCGCGCGCTTTCGCGACTTCCTGTTACACACTTCCGTCCCATTCCATGAAATCACTCCCACAAATTGCAGGAAAGCGAGAGGAAAGATGTTACACATAAAAAAAAGCATAGATTAGAGAAAACAGTTTATGGTATACTCAAAAGGAGAATGAGGAGCGTGAGACAACCTAAACAGAGGCCTTCTATCTATCTTCCTCTTACTTCAACCAAAAAATATCACATGACGTTTTTAATATGTGCCAGCAACTATTCATTTTAACACAAATTGTGGTATGTGTGTAACAAGCGTAATGAACGCATAAGAAATGAATTATAGGTTACCTACAATGCAAAGAGATGGCAGTGCCTTGCAGCCTAAGAAATACTAGAGGAAATTCAACACGACCATTCATGCCTCGGTAGTATAATTGGTTGCCCAGATAGCGGAAGATTCGGGTTTGAATCCCATCTGAAACTTATTTCTACAAAGATTTTGTTAAGAATTAAATATGGAAACTTTGGATTCATTTAGAAGCTACAGAAATATCAAGTCTATCAAAAATTTTCGACTCACCGGTGTGTACCCGAACATGTTTATCCAACAAGCATTTAAACTGGAACTTCTTTCCGCAATACTCGCACTCCTGCTTATACTCAGTCTTGTTGTGCACTTTACGAACATGTCGCGACAAGTACTTCTTAATGTGCGTCTTGTACGTGCATTTGTCGCAAGCATATGGGTTGGCCGGATCATGGATGTTCTCGTGGAGTTCTAAGGTGGCTTTATCTGGGAATATCTGAAAGTTTTATTGTACTTAAATATTTTTAAGTAGGCAGATGCTGTGGCTTCTTGATCTATATAGTGGGTGTTCTCCGTAACTCAACACCAGGTGCCTGTTTTGTGTAATAGCTGGCTTTAGTCAAGTCATCCCAGCTCCCCCAAGGAGCTCATGTCTCTTGGTGTCCCCACAGGTCTCAAGCAGAGTTTATGGAAAATGGCAGTGCCTATTTCTTTAATTAGGTAAATGCCAGCCTTGACAGTGGAATCAAAATAAACCATGCAAAGAAAACATCTCATTTTACGCACAATGTGTGGGTGACTTTAATTTCATATGGTTTGAAAGCAGTCAATGTGTGTGTATGTAGCGACAAACATATCTACCATCATATATAGTTGATATTTTTCAAAAGCCCATTTATAGCAGAAATAGAGCTCCAAAGGACAATGGGCAAAATTGCATGGACACAGCACCCACGTCCGCCACGGCTTAAACTACATTTGTTTGAAAGGTATCATAGTCATGATCATTTGTGCCAAAGCGCATCAAATTCCATCCCGGGAGTCTTTAGTTATTTTAAGTTAAATAGGTACAATTCTATAGGTAAAAGTAACTATAACGAACATAATATTTAAAGATACAAGGACGAGTATATAGAACGGATATATTAATTGACGACCATGGAGGTCGTCAATTAATATATCCGAGTCGAGTGGTTTGTACGCCGGGTTTCATGGTGTCGCTGGCTCGAGAGGTCCCGGGTTCGAATCCTGGTGGGGGCAAATGTATGTGTGCTGAGTACGAGCATTTAAATTGATCCATAGATTTTTTATTAGCTCGTACGATTATAATGACGTACGCGATGATACTCGTGTTCCTATTTCTAAAGCGTGTTAGTTAAATATCAATGAAATAACAGGGAGCGCACAAAATGTAAGACATAGGACTGCATACGAGTAGACTAGTTGCAACGGCAACTGCAATATCACATCCTTCAACCCCCATACCCTGTTAGACGTTTTGAGGAGTCTCCGTAAGTGCAAGCAGCAAGCAAGCAGGATAGTCGGTAGGCTTTGTTGTTTAGTATTTTGTATCTGGTTGTACAGTAAGATATGATTCACTCACTTATTATTGCTAATATTATAAAACGAAAGTACTATTGATATTGAATGAATTTCTTTAGCTATTTAAATATCACCATCATCAGCCTATTAATGTCCCCACTGCTGGGGCACAGGCCTTCCCTATGGATGAAATAGGGAGATTGGGCCATGACCCACCACGCGGGCGCAGTGCGGATTGGCGGGTGCTAACGACTGCAGATGCAGCCGGGACCAACGGCTTAACGTGCCTTCCGAAGCACGGAGGAACTCGAGATACATGTTTTTGGTCACCCATCCAATGACCGACCACTGCGGAAGTTGCTTAACTTCAACGATCGCAACCGAACGCGCTAACCACCTGCGCCATCGAGCTTCTCTATAAGGAGTTATTTAAATATGCCCGTGTGTCCCCATGACTTACACACAAAGGTCGTCTATAAGGACTATGTGCGGAAACCTTAACCCCTAATATAGAACATACCCAGGTGTATATCTTTTGACCACCAGGTTATTTTTTTTTGGTGCCATAATAAAAAAGGCTAGTTTTTCAAAGATCTATCGATTCATACTAATTACATTGTTGGCGGAGCTGGGTGCATTTTGCCCATTGTCCTTTATGGTTATTTTTTTTTAATTCTGTTAGGGATTGAATGGTCAACCCAAATATTTATACCCATTGTTTTCATGGAATTGAAGCTAAGCTTGATTTTGCCTTGGCTGGAGCTATTTATTATTCATGCTGCCTACCATGAGTAGGACATTTTTAATCAATAACAAATTAAACGCTTACCTCCTTACATATCTTGCATTGAATTTTTTTTATCCGTTTCTTTGCCGATGGTTTTTTATGGACAGCCTTCAAGTTTTCTCGTAAGATTTCATGTGATGGTAGGAAATCTTCAGTTTCATCACCAACCAGCTAAACATATTTAATACAATACAGTTACTGTTTTATTTGTTAATGAAAATGCTCATAAATAAATAAAATGCTCATTCCTATAATTATTCAACATTCAAAAGAGTTAATGAAAGGGTTTTCTCTCATTTGAACAATGATGTTTGAACTTGAAAAATATTCAGTTATTAACTAAATATTTTACATATTTAGATGTAATCATCAAGCAGTATTTTTTTGTTTAGTTTACCAGTCAAATAAAAATATAACAAAGCTTGGACTAGTTTTACAAATATGTAATTCATGTAATTTACTCATTTAGATCATTTTAATCAAAAATGAAAAAGCAATTTTCCTACTGGGTATTTATACATGTTAAAAGTATAAAGGGAATCCAGGTAATCTTGAACATGGAATTAATCTTTCAGTTTTAACTTTTACAGTTAACACTATAACATGAGGCTTTCAAAATGATGTTACGTATTTATTGAAAAATGTAAACATTTTCATATTTTTTTTCAAAAAACTACCAGTGTATTAATGTGAACACTTTGTTTAATAATGTGGTTAACAGAAACCTTTTCAACAACAAAAATGCAAAGTTGCAGCCAATAAAACTGAGAAGTTTTTACTTTTGGGCCCTGAAAGTACAGTGTATCCTTCATTTTTGCTTTGGCTATAAATATGTTGACATAACATGAGACCTTTTCTCTTCTTTTCTTGTCAGGGGCTTTTTTGTGGAGTCTTTTTTAATACAGTTTTCAATTGTTCATTAAACATGAAGAAATTATAAGGAATTGAACATTGTCACCGATATTTTAGGTTAATAGTTTTATTGTTTAGGTACTAACAGCTATGTGATCAGATATTGAAGAAAAAGGAATAGAAATATAAGAATGAATATAATAAGGAGAAAAAAAGGATTTTTATTTATTATTCACATAACTACTATGGAAAATATAGTCTGCATTAAGAGGGAATAATAAAGCCCATTTAGTGTGGCTGTGTGGCTTATAAGTGATCAATGTTTGTAACATAAATAAAAAAAAAAAGATTTTGAATAATTTTGTTGCTAACTCACCCGTTCTACAGTGACGGTTGTTTCCATTTTTGTATGTAGAATAATTAAAATTTACGCCTATTTCGCTACTTTGCGAAAATTTCTTGTAATACCAAGTACGAACATTTTCGCTTGATCTTTTTAACTTTTCCGAGTGACATTGACAATGCTCGGAGGTTGACACTACTGACAGCAAAAATAAGAATCTGTCATATCAACTTGATAATATTTTCGTTCAGAAACACTTTTAGTGTGCACCTAATTTTGTTATTCTTCCTATTATGTACTGTGTGCTATTATGAAAGTCTAAAGAAAGAATAGCGAAGATTCTGAAGTTTATTAGCCTTTTATAAATAAAAAGAACAAAACATCTTGCATTGCATATAATGAGAACGGCAGCGCTCTTATTTTACTATCATAAAGCGTTTCATGCTGCGTTCCTTGGAATAATAGCGCAAACTAATGAGATGATAATAATAAAGCCTTCTAGGCTTGTCCGTGTCATCTTTATATATATAATTCTTCTGTGAGTGTGTATGTCACTGAACTTCTCTTAAACGACTGGACCTATTTTGATGAAATTTTTGTGTGTGTTCAAGGGGATCTGAGAATGGTTTAGATTCACAATTTTGTCCGCTGGACAATGTTTTTTTAATTATTTTTTTTTATGGCGGTACGAAGTTCGCTGGGTCAGCTAGTATTATAATAAAAACACAAGTGTATCGCGGTCGCATGTCGAATTTTTTTGACGTTGACTGAAGTTGACTGTCCCTGCGGTCCGAATTGCGAAAATACTGCCAACGTTACGAACAGTGCAAATGATGGGTCAGAATTGAATATGGTGCTATGTGCACTGTTTGCGCGCAATCAATTCGGACTGTACTTTAATCGCATTTGTGTGTAAATGACTTGAGGGTTCAAGAATTTCTGTTGTATTAAAAGGAGATCTACACTGCTGTTTGATTCTTCATCGAAAAGTTTTAGTAAAACCAATAGACATTATTTTACTATCTGCCATGAGAATAAAAACAAATTTGAAAAGAGTCATACAATACTAAGACTAATAGTTTATGAAATATAGGGAGAGAAAAACAATTTGTATTCTTACATTATACAGTTTAAAATGATAAAAACCATAAAACTTTAAAGAGAAAGTAAGTGAAGTACCTATTCAGATTTTTTTAGCAACGCAAAACTTCAAACGTCAAATTTGCGTTTGACATTTGCGCACACACTGCACTGCACTACCTTATTTTCGTGAGCAGCGTTTGCATGGCTTGATGATGTCACTGATGACGTCTCACATGGATTTCGTTGGCACGAATACGTACATATCGGACCAGATATATGCGCGCTATCGGTGCAAATTGTACGAAATCGCGCAATTCGGACCGCAGCGTGTATCTACGCACAAAAGTGTTAACATCACCAGTCCCAAACCCACAAAAATGGGGAAAGGCGCTGCTTTGGTATGCGATGCCAAAATACCTAATTGGCAGGATGAATAAAATAATTATATTCATGTAGAATATTAATGACGGAATAAAATTCGAAATTTTTTCAACCAAAATGGTTAATCAAATATACCTTTCAATCCAATGTGTTCAGGAGTCTATGACTGTGAAAAAAATACATAAAAGCCTTGTCTTCTACAAAACAGTAAATACACACACAGGTATAAATAAATCCTAATAATAAATTTCAACGATCAATTATTAAAATTTCATTCAAAATTAGTTAATGATGGAAGCGCAATAAAACTCCTTTTTTCTTTTTCTGAGTGAGTATGCTATTGGTCGCAGTTGACGTTTACAGCGTCACCGGTTTTGGGGACGGTGAGATCCTAATGGGACCTCAAGCCGAGAATTGGCGAGTGCCTCTAGAGGTATTCCAGGTGAATGGCATCTCCCAACGGGGGAATCCTCCCACCATCTGGAGCCTCTAGACCACAAGAACCTGAGGACCAATACAACTCTTTTAAATCATCCAAATTTAGGTCATTTTTCTAAATCTTAGCCACGAAGGAACCCTTCGACCTCCCTTTACACACAGCGCGGAACGTTGAACTAACTCGTTACAACGTGACATGACGTCACACTTTTTCATGCGTGCAGCAGGTGTTCACAATGACGTTTTATTAATTAATAAAACGTCATCATGGCAAAAAAAGGAAGAAATAAAATTAAAACGCACTCCGATGTAACGTACTTAACGTACGTGACGTAGACTCAAAGACATGATCACCAGCCTTTACGGGCACAGGCCTACCCTTATGGATGGAATAGGAAGGTTAGGTCATGATCTACCACGTGGGTTCAGTGCAGATTGGTGGATGCTAACGTTTGCAGATGTAGCCGGGTCCAACCGTCTTACTAGCCTTCCTAAGCACGGCTCCTCCGTGCTCGTGCTCGAGATATTCTGTCTTCTTACAAAACATTGACTAAAGTTAAACCAGGTATAAAACAGATGATATCACATATGTTTGCTAAAAAGAAGACAAAGATAGCGTTAAGTTTAAACCAAAAGTGACTTAGGTCCGCGTTTTGGAATAATAACCGGCCGGATACCATCTGCACGATCTCGATACCACCGGGCTCCTCTCCGCACTCAATCACAGTTAATCATTTGTTAAGCATACTTGATTTTAACGTTTATTTTAGTTTTGCGTGTAATTTTTTCTGGGTATTGGTAACTCTGGGAAAAGCTGTCACTGTCAGTCAGTGACAGAAACTGTCATTGCTATGCTGTCACCATGTACCACACAAGTACCTTGTGATGTGAGTTTACTAGTGTATTTGTGTTTTTCTGATTTTATAATAAATATTTTTCAGTTATTACATAATCGAAGATAATTATATTTTCAACGGTGAAACCGTTAAACAAGCATTACTCGTATATCGCGAAGTGTGTTCCATGAAACAATCAAATTATATTTTATAACCTCGTCATTGAACTTAAATCCCATAGAATAACCTTGGAATATACATAATAAATGTAATTTTTACCTACGCTTGTTTTTGTAAGTGTTTTTATTGAAAGCCGGGCCTGATTTGATCCGTAACTCGTTTATTGTCTAAGTAAGTACCTAACCTGATCCTTGTGTTATGAAGGTTATAACTATATAAGTCGTAGAGTAGTTATAATTAATGAAATAGATAATAAATCATCATTATTTTTAAATGTGTATAGTAGAAGTTACATAAACTTTGGCTAAAACCATTGAAAAGTTTACCTATCAGTATGATTAATAACATCATTCATACAGACAATTTAATTTACAATTAAATATTTTTACAGCTTTGTAAGTAAATCCCAAGAAGTTTTGTTAAATAAACAATCAATAGATTGGTTTTCATTATCCTTTTTAGTTATTTCATTTCATTGTCATAGTTAGTTTCATTTATTGGCATTTTAATTTACCATAGTGAAGATAAAAACGCCAATAAATGATGATGAAGATGCATGTATATTTTTATCTCAATAAATTTATTTCAATAACTTGCAGATTAATAATTTTATTATATTTATTCATTTCAGAAGAATGCTGTGAGATTGATATAACGAAAATGCTTAACAGAACAGTCAGATCCCATAATATTTTACAATTTAAAAAACTGTTACGAACGCAGACTTCAAATGTTAGTGTACGACGTGCCCTCTTCTATACACCTGTCGTTACATCTTTTCTATGTCAAAACCAAAGACTACGAATTATCAACAATGTTAGAGTACATTCCACACAAAGCGATCAGCATAGACAGAAGGTTGTGATTGAAACGTCAGAACCAAAAATAGTTATAGACAATAGTAAAGTGCTGCAAGATAAATTAATTGATGAAAGTACATTAAGGGAATTTTGGAGAAGGAAGGTGGATCCTTATGTGAAGCTTGCAAGATGGGACAGACCTATTGGTAAGGTATTATGGCTCTTATTGAGATAGAAATTAGAGATTCTTTACATTGAACACTTGGTCTTATAAAATTCTCGATATTTGGTGCTAGTGGATATCATATTCAGGCTGGGATTGCAGAAGATAAGATAAGATATATTTTATCTATCACACACATCATACAGGTAGGTATAATTACAGTTTGTTTTACATTTATATGTCACTGAAAGTGTGTGATCTGGCGCCTAAACTAGGGCGACCCTAGGGCTATCTACCTCGGTAAAAGCCTATGTCTCTGTGTGTGCGCGTAAGTGCGTGTGCGTGCGCGTGTGCGTGTGTGTGTGAATGTGTGTACGTGTACGTGTATGCAACTTTAGCAGTGGCCAGTCATAGGATGCATGAATTAACTATTTCCAGCGCCTTTGTGCTTCCAATGTTGGACCCATCTGCATCTCCAATTGTTAGCATTCACCAATAGTTTCCCTGTTATAGCCCAATCTCCATATCCATAGGCAAGGCCATTAAAGGTGGGGGCATTCATAGGCTGATGATGATAATAAAATATTTTTTTGTTGTCAGGTGTCTACCTACTATATTGGCCGTGCTCATGGTCGATAGCCCTCGGTTCTCTACCTGGTACGGTTCCTCTACACACCAGCTTACAAATGGCTGGACTGTTCTTAGTTGGTGCTGGATTGATGCGAGGCGCTGGATGCACTATTAATGATATGTGGGACAAGGATGTTGATGGAAAGGTATAGTTTAAATCCTAATTCTTAGGTACTAATCTTATAAATTGAGAGGTTTGTATGTTTGTTACACAATTACGCAAAAACGGCTGATTGGATTTGGATGAAATTTGGCACACATATAGTTTGACACCTGGATTAAGACAGCATAGTTCTATCCCAGAAAAGTGTTAGGTTCCTGAATTTAAGTTTATAAGTTAATGCGAACAAAGTCTTGTAAATAAATAAATAGATCTAAAGAAAAGGACATGGCTAAGAAACTATAAAAATTGACTTCATGTCTGTTTAAAAAGCAAAATGTTCTGATTTACTAAATAATTGAACAATAAATGTACACAATTTTTTTTAGTAAGTATATCAAAATAAACAATATTGTTTCTAAACTCCTTCAAACTATGACATATTTGGCCCTAATTTTAATTATAATAAATCACTGAAGGTCTAAAATAATAGATTTTATTATTATGATCTGGCTTGAGACAAGGCTGTATGATAATAAATCCTTTAATTTTTGCAAATGGACAAAATAAAACTTCAAAGATTTCCTGTCAGGCCGACGATAACAAATTATTTGTATTTATTTTTGCTTTAAAAAAAGCTTTTTGTGAAGAGTTAATCACAGAAATGGGAAGAAAGATTCTAAGAAAATGCGAAATTGATGACTCTGTAAATAATTGGCAACATCTTTTAACAACTATAGTAAGGTATTTTTGTCTAAAGAAAATTTTACTAGAACTATATCCACGCGGACCAGGCAGCAGACGGGACTCGCACCAGCACCCTCCGGGAGTTTTCTCTAGTATTTCTTAGGTTGCAAGGCAGCGCCATCTCTTCGCATTGTAGGTAACCCACAATGTCAAACGAATATCTTTTGCAAGTATTAAACATTTGAAAGAAGAAATAGCAATTATAGTTATATGTATTTTTTGAAGCATTTAACTGCTATATGGTTAAATTCGACATGGACAGGGCCACTGTAGCTGATTCCCGGGTTCGAGTCCCGTCTGATTCCTGGTCCGCGTGGATATATTTCTAGTAAAATTGCCTTTCAGAAAAAAATTATAACTAAATTTATATTTCTAACATTTACACCAATAGGGTATTTAACAAGTTTAAGAAAATGATCTCACGTTATTGACTAATGTTTATGGAGTCCGTAAAAACTGGATATTCATCATTCTGTTGTGTATTTCAGTAGAAATAACCAAATCAAAAACTCCATTTTCAATTTGCCGCGAAAACGTTTCTCTTGACAATATGGCGTCTTACTAGTGTGTGACGTCACACGACTGTTATTAAAACGTCAAACGATACAATGTAATATCTCTTTAACCGGAACTTTACTTGCGTGTGACGTCATCTTAAGCTCCGCCAATCCCAAGTGTTTTGGGTCACGTGACAATAGATAAGAATTTCGTTAGTTTTTTGTAAAATTATGAATATTTTTTTTGTTAAAAATAGTAAAACCCCTGCCAATATTCATTCTAAACACAGATGCTAACAAGTGGCACTTTATTTTTAACACTGTCAAATAGCTACTAGACCTGCCCTACTCCTCAACTAAGCCTTGGTACGCTTTTTCAGGTGGAAAGAACCAAAGACAGGCCTCTAGTCTCCGGAGCGATCTCTGATAAGCAAGCGTTGACTTTCCTAGGGGCTCAGTTGACTTTAGCTTTGGGAGTGCTGTTGCAGTTAAACTGCTATTCTGTATTACTCGGGGCGAGTAGTATGCGTGAGTAATTTATTTTTACTACTATTAGTTGTAATAAATGTTGAACACTTTCAATGTGGACTACCATTTTGTTTCACCAGATGGCGCCACTGTAGAGTGGGGTCCTGAAGTGTAGCTTTTAAAGTTTGCTAATACGCGCATGAAACCATATTAAATACCCTAGATACAATAACACGAACAAAATCGTGGCCGAAACGTGTCCAAAAGGTACATCGGACGATTTACGAAACTCCGTAAGATGATCGCGTGGTCAAAAACAACATAAGGCGTTATTGAAATATTGAAAGTCGCCTTTCATGCATACTGTAGAAGGTCTTAATTTGAACGCATGCGTCAAAGACTTATGACAGTTCGAAATGCAAGCTCGTAAAATTTTACGTCTTAATGCTATATTCGAAATAAAGACCTTATTATTTTGACTTAACGCGCAATTCTGAATGCGCTCTTAGCAATGCAACGGGTACCGACCGCGAGGAAAAGAGACGGCTATACGGCAATGTGTAACCGATCGTGCATTTGAATATCATAAATATTTTATTTTTAATCAGATTATAGTAAGTATTACAACAATATTTGCTTCAAATGCGTTAAGTTAACAAACATCGATTAGATACCTGTCGAAAAAACGAAACTACACGTACTATTTTTATTTTTTTTCGCATTTTTTCACGGAGCTCTGCGGCAACTTGACTTTTCAACGGTCCGCGTGTGACTGTGAACCGGAAGTGCTTGAGTGGAGTTAAAGCACTTCTTGATTGGGACACATTTTGAGCAACGTGGTGTATCTAGGGTATATAATATCATTGCATATAATTTTATATTAATACAAAAGAACCGTATCGTAAACATAATCGGCCAGGCTACAGTGTTGCGAAAATGGAACTCCATTTTGTTCAGAAAGGAAGGCAATATTTTTTCTTAGCTCCGCTTTTAAATCACTGACATTCGTTTCACACGTAACTTATATTAAAATTATTTGCCATAATTAATCTGTTGTTGTTATGAAATATTCACAACATTATTTTAATTAGAAATTAACCCGCGTTGTCAACCGACAAGCAATAACATTTGACATTTCGGAGACCTCACGCTACACAAGCGCCTCTAGCGGCGAATTCATACGCGATAGCCCTCATTTAAAACAGTCATATAGCCTCGTAACTAAATATAGCTGCTACTATATTTATGCTCACTATGAGCATAAATATTGTCATCAGCCTATTAATGTCCCCACTGCTGCACAGACGACCTCCGTGGCCGAGTGGTTTGTACGCCGGGTTTCATGGTATCGCCGACTCGAGAGGTACCGGGTTCGAATCCCGGTGGGGGCACATGTTTGTGTGATGAGTACGAGCATTTGTACTCCAGTCATGGATGATTCATATGAATTTCGATATATATATATATATACAGTATATGTATTCTATTCGTTATCCTAGTATCCCAAAGTACAAGCCTTACAGTGCTTACTTTGGGGCTAGGCTAATTGGTGTAATGTTGGAAACACTAAACAAAAAAAAAACTGCTGGGGCACAGGTCATTCCTATGAATGGCACGGGGAAAATGGGTTAGACACACCACTTAGGCGCATTGCGGATTGGTTGGTGCTAGAGTTGCTTAACTTCCGCTATCGAATGAATAAAGTAGCATCTGTCTTCAACTATCACTTAAATATAGGATTAATATAATTAATCCTTTAAGAGAGGCGTGAAGAAGCATTTTTGCAGGCCGGCAAGGTAAAGATGGTTGGTGTAGCAGTTCATAACTGCTGTACCAGCTATCTTCGCGATTGAACTTTATCACCACATAACATCAGGTGGGGTAGAGTCATTTGCCTACCTCTTACTCAATAACTATGCATTACTTAAATAAAAAAGTATTATTAAGTAGACTTTCGCAGTAGCTCAAACTTTCGCAGTGGTCGGTCATTGGATGGGTGACCAATAATTTTCTATCTCGACCTCCTCCGTGCTTCAGAAGGCACGTTAAGCCGTTGGTCCCGGCTGCATCTGCAGTCGTTAGCACCCGCCAATCCGCACTGAGTCATGCCCCAATTTCCTATCCATTTATAAGGAAGACCTGTGCCCCAGCAGAGGGGACATTATTAGGGTGATGATGATGATGAAAGACTTAATAAATATTTCGTTTTATTTTTCCCCAGTCTTCGTAGTGACCTACCCACTCGCGAAGCGTTTCACCAACTACCCGCAGATATTCCTAGGTGCTACTTTCAACTGGGGAGCGTTATTGGGCTACAGTGCCATACAAGGGGCTATCGATCCGGCTATATGTGTGCCGATGTATATAGGAGCGTTGGCCTGGACTGTTTTCTATGACACAATTTATGCTCATCAGGTGAGAATATTTTATTTTCGTTTATGTAGATGACTTCATAAATCCTGAATACATCTTCGTCACTTTTAGAGATAACCCTATCTATTGTAAACCAATTAGAGATTTCTTTAAAAAATATTACAGAAAGCACTTTGTAACTCACATAATCATGTAAATTTATTGGGTTAAACCTATGTAGTAAGATAAATATATTGCAGTAGATGTTTCAAATATTAAGTTAATGTGAAGTGCAAATGGACTTGATATATAAAACGGACTGTTTAATAATATACAACATAGTTAATTATGACACTATTTAATGCACAGCAGGTTGTTTTGTATACGTTTATATGGATGACCTTATTGATGATATTTCGTTGAATATGTTTTGAGCAACATTTGATTTATTTCACTGACAAGTAAATATTAAGTATGATTTGAGTGCTTTATACATATATATTATAATGTGGTTTTGATTGGGGCTCCGTAACAAAAGTGTGACAATAGAACTCACTTAGTCAGCCAGTTCATTCGTTTGTCAATTAACGAAAGGCTTATTAACTGTCTAAGTTCATCTCATTCGTTTTCTCCTTCAGAGTTAAAGAAAACGTTTCAATGTGACATAACATATCTCTTTCTTACTTACGAAATGTTCTTATGTACTGCCATCGTTATAAAATATTTAAAGACTGTTAACAGAAAAAAAATATTGAATGAAACCTTCATTTTTATTCTAACAACAGTAGAAACTACGTTGAAAGATATTTTAATAATCACTTGTTTAAGCCGGAAACTGTAAACATGATCCGCCTTATTCCAAAACACGGTTTAAAGTTAGTCTTGGTTTAAACCTGATGGTGTTTTTGTCTTCTTTTTAGCAAACAAAAGTGGCTGTTTTTAGCAAACAGTTTTAGATCAGGTTTAACTTTAATCGACGTTTTTGAATAAGGCCGAATATGTTATTTTTTTTACTTCATGTTTTCTATTTATAACTTACAGTTGCGACAATATATCTTATTTATATAGTCATTATTAACTTCCACCCAGGATAAAGATGACGACGCCCGCATAGGAATGAAATCCACAGCTTTAACTTTCGGCGAACACACGAAAATAGCGCTTTCAGCGACTTTAGCCCTCAGTAGCGCGTGCTTCACTAGCGCTGGTATAGCGGCAGGATTGGACGCTACGTATTATATAGCACTGCTAGCGTATCTAGCGCACAACGGGGCACAGGTACGATGATTTTATTGCATGTTTAAGGCATTTAATCGTAAGATAATTTATATTTTTTTAAGCATTTAACTGCTGGATGTTTAAATCTAAAGAAAATTTCCAGGCAGCAGACGGGACTTGAACCCGCAGCCCCCGATATCCGGGCGGATGCACTGACCTTATGCTACCTCTGCCCTGATGGCCTTGTCGAATTCTTTCTAGTATTTATTAGGCTGTAAGGCAGCGCCATCTCTTCGCATTGTCGGTAACCCACAATGTCAAACGAATACCTTTACAAGAATTAAACATTTGAAACAAGAAATAGCAATTGTAGTTATTTTTTTGAGCATTTAACTGCTGGATGTTTGTTTGTTTGATTTATAAATCTGAAGAAATTTTAAGGCATTACGTCGCGGTGCTAGCGTGTCTAGTGTACAAGGGGGCACAGGTAGGATATATTGTTCACACCATCACTCGAATTTTGGACAGTTTTGAACTCAAATTAGATCATTTATAAATGCTAGAATAAAGAGTGATCCCAAATCTGATCCCTGAGGAACTCCTGATCATTTATGTATGCTAGAAGAAAAAGAGAGGTCCCAAATGTCATTACTGAGAAACTCCTGAACATTTATAAATGTCAGAAAAAAAGAGGTCCCAAATGTGATCCCTGAGGAACTCCTGATCATTTATAAATGATAGATAAAAGAGAGGTCTCAAATGTGATCCCTGAGGAACTTCTGATCAGATGCTACGCAGCTCTGCTAGCGTATCGAGCGTACAAGGGGGCACAGGTAGGATGAGTTTATTGTATGTTTTAGGCATTAAACTGCAAGATATATAAAAGTAAAGAAATTTTAAGATATTACGCAGCGCTGTTGGCCTACCAAACACATGATGGGAGACAAGTAGGATGATGTACATGCAGGAAATTGTTATAGTCTAACTTCCGCCTGCGACTTCGTCTGTGTTAGTGTATTTTTATTGAGAATATGTGGGATGAACAAAAATCAAAAAAGGGCAAGGTTGAAGAGGAGAGGATGCTTTTAGCGTTAAGTCTGTCTTTTGCTTGTTCTTGCAATATTTGCCACTATTATAAAAATAAATAAATAAGAAGAGAATGAATGTATCAATCTGCAATTTTTCCGGTTGCAGAGATAATAAGTGTCCTATACCCAGAGAAATTTACAGATTAGCAAAAAAACTAATGGAAGAAAGAAAGAGAAGAAAAAATAAGAACCAACGATATAAAGTATCCTGGTAATAAACCATCATCATCATCAACCTATTAATGTCTCCACTGCTGTGGCACAGGCCTTCCTGTGAACGGCATAGGGAGATTGGGCCGTGACTCACAACGCGAGCCCAGTGCGGATTGGTGGGTGCTAATATCTGCAGATGCAGCAGGGTCCAACGGCTTAACGTGCCTTCCGAAGCTCGGACGAGCTCGAGATAGTAAATTTTTGGTCACACATCCAATGACCGACCACTGCGAAAGTTGCTTAACTTCTACGATCGCAGCCGAACATGCATCGGATCATCGGATATAGCTTTAAAATAACCTAATTTCTCATCTGTTTCGATTAAAGTTTTGTTTCATTGTTACAGATATACAATTTGGACGTCAACAACCCTAGAGATTGCGCGGCAAAATTCAAATCCAACTCTTTGGTTGGTCTCATTGTCCTACTCGGAATTATTGGCGGTGGCTACAAGCAATATTTGGAAAACAGAGAGAAGAATCGGGACAAAGAGAATGTTGCCATAACCAAAAGCTGCGTTTTCAGCTAAGTGAGTTTTCAGCGTTTTAATAACGAAATTGCCGCGAATTCTCACTTTCATAATTGTCTATGGAAGATTTCTGTTTTTGTTCTGTTATAAATAACAGGTTGTGTAGACCATAGTTCAAGCGATAGCAATTATAATTTACTTTGCTGAGTTCCTATTAATAATAGCGGAATTTCAATTGTCTTATTCGTTAAATTATAACTCGATCAAAATAGAATGCTTATTTATACAGAACACCCGAAATGGTGTGAATAATATATTTAATGTGTCGGTATATTACGTTAAATGTCGTATTAATTTTATTTGCGAATAGAAATATTTGCTCTAAAACAATAAATAACAACGGAGCTTTCCTAGGTTAACTATGAAATTTAATTTCGAAAAATTCGTTAAATTAACTGAAATTATTGTTTTATGCTTGATGTTTACCATCTTTGTAAATACTTTCAAGGTTTGGTAATCTTATTCTCAACAACAACAAACTGTTACTTTTTTTTAATACGGCAAAAGTTTTATGTCATTCGGATTGCTTCGGGTGCACGAAAGACATTACTCGAATTCGGGCATCCGAAGCAATATTTACACTGGAATACGGGCCGGAAGACGGTGTCGGGTAAACAAAAGGAGTACTACCAGAGTGCGGGCGTGATCAACTCCGTTATTTTTGACTTGATCGTTTACCCGAATTCCTTTGGCACTCGTATTCGGGTTAGGTCCAAGTGTAATCGCGACATAATTAATGTGCGAGAGAGACATAATGTCTTGCGTCGGCATTTTTGATTCCTTTCTATTCGGGTCCCGGTTGATTTAGCCTTATAATGTTTTGAAAATTTTGGACGATTCAAAAGAGTCGTACTTTACATCCAATTTGAATAAAGATATATTGATTTCTATAAAATGAAACCAGTACAAATAGTTACAATACTTTTATTTAAATTTTCTGATATTTGAGCGCAAATAAAGAGTATAAAGGATAATGGGCAAACCACACCCAGCTCCGCCAACAATGTAATTAGTATGAATCAATAGATCTATAAAAAACAAGCCTTTTTTATTATGACACCGTAAAAAAATATCCCGGTAGTCAAAAGATATGACATCGTAAAAAAATGTCCTGGTAGTCAAAAGATATACGCATGGGCATATTTAAGTACCTAAATTAATTAATTTTACAGTATTAATTTTATAGTACCTTTATTTTATATTAGTAACCATAATAATATGCCATATCGTACTATACAACCAGATATACGACAAAGCCTGTCGAACATCCTGCGCTTGAACTACCTGAGCCACCACAAAACGGTTTACGGAGGTTGAAGGACTTTCAGTTGCAAATAGTCGACTCGTCTTACGTCCTTGTGAGTGTGCGCTCCCTGTCACTTGATTGATTTTTATCTAACACACTTTGAACATTGCCACACGATTATCGGTTTTGTCAATTAGTATGGATGATCTGGAATCATGTTTTCTCCGAAGCGTGGACAAGTTTGTGTGATTTGTGGTCGCTCTGTTTTACATTGAAGACAATTTACTATGACGAACAGACTGTTTGAAAAAACTTCAACCTATGCGGGGATTTTTGGATTTACTTTAGCGCGGCAGAATAACATAAGGCGGCATCCTTGCACCTTGTGAAGTACTCCCATAATACCTGAGCCCTCTATGTATGGCCGAACTAACTAACTGAATTAATTCCTTTGTTTCATTAATGTTCGTTTGTTATAGTACTTGTACCTATTTAACTTAAAATAACTAAAGACCCCCGGGATGCAATTTGAAGCGCTTTGGCACAAACGAGTATGACTATAATACCTTTTAAACAAATGTAGTTTAAGCCGTGGCGGACGTGGCTGAAGCGTCCATAAATTTTTGCTCAATGTCCTTTCAACTTGAAAAATGAAAAATATTCTTAATTTCATTCAGAGATGGCAACCCCAGTCTTAGAATTAATGTAACGCCACGGGGTAGGGGATTGGGTCAGGGTAGGCAACGGTGTGAGTGATATTTTTGGTATCGCAAACATCTATAGGCTATGGTGGCCACTTTGCCACCACTTTAACATAAAAAAAAAGAATATGCTTATGACCACACGACTGAAGTGAAACTTCTTTAGTTCCATCTGTAAAACATATTTTATTCACTAGCTATAAGAGAAAGAGAGAAAGAAAATGTGCGCGCGCGCTGCTTTCTCTTGCTTATATCTCCCACTCAACTCCCGTTCGCCTCACCCGAACACACTTTTCGTAACGCGTAACGCATTCGCCAGCTTACCCCCCAAGTCAAGCGTGCGTAAAGAAGTTTAGTGTCCCTTTTCATTCAATTGTAAACCTAATATTAATGAGCATGAAGCTCAAAATCTTTTGTAGCTAATTGTCTGTTTTGGATGCACTTGACCTGTAGTTGACTGTGTCAAGTCAACAAACAACGAATACACATGTTGTATAAAATATGAAAAATTGTGGTGTCTCTTTCTATTAACATTGGTGAGAACAAGACAGGCATACATTTTTAGGTTGCGTAGTCGCCGTTTTGTATTAGGTTGTATGATATTTGTTTTTGTTACTGTTAATGAGTTTTTGTCGAATTTGGGGAGTCATACAAAACATGAATATTTTGAACTTAAAAGAGCAAGTTCAACTGAATTTTCCTGCTCTTGTTTATAATGCCATAAAATTAAGGTTTTCTAGAAAGGACATGTTTCATTTTGGGCCAGGTCTATGTATACATTCCTAAAAAATGGGATGAACAATAAAAAAAAAGCGTGCACCAGGCAGCAGATGAATCTCGAATCCACATCCTCCGCTATCTGGATGGATGCACTGACTACCGCGGCCCGAATTGTCCCTGTCCAATTTTCTCTAGTATTTTTTAGGCGCAAGGCAGCGCCTTGAAAAATAAAATAAAAAAAAACCTTAAAATCAGAAGTGTTCAGATTATAGCGAATGATGTTTGCAATTCAAACTATGTGTAAACAACAGTAGCTGCGTTCGTTATTTGCGTCTGATCAATCTTTTTAGTCTGAATCGTTCGTTTATTACCATTCAGAGTGAATCTGAAGCTTTCGTTAATTCCGTTCAAACCAGTCCGATGTTAATCTGTTTGCTCGGAGTATTTTAACCGACGAGAAAGATTGATCTGGTTATCTGTCTTTACATAAGTTTTTTTTTCTAAATGGCTTCGCACGGCCTGTGCATTTAGCCAATGTCAAGTGTTAAAATGTTTACAAATTCTATAGCTCTCGTGGTCAAAGTAATAAATCAAGTCAAAGTAAGTGGCAGTCAAGTCAAACCCCTTTTCCCTATGTTTCAGTAAATGTGTGGGGATTTACTGGAACCTCCCCGTGGATTTCTTGAGGGAACGTCGAAAGACACTTTCCGCTATTTTGTTTCACTTGCCAATACTTGTGCATGTTCCCGAACACTTAGTGGTTAATAATCCACCATTATTAGACACTAACAGCCGCCACAACACAATTTTTAACAAGAAAAACAAAACTGCTAAAGTGACGGTTCCCGATCCCGCCTAAAAGTCACCGTTATATATGTTACTAGCGGCCCGCCCTCGCTTCGCTTCGGTGTAGAGCTGAAGTGTAGACTACAGTTTTTGTTCTCAGGCTTGTATTATACACAATGACATTCATCTATGATTCTTCTTATACCTGCATGCAAAGTCTCAGCCCGTTCGGTTTAAAATTGACAAAGTTTCAGATAAACTTTCATTCCCTATTTTATCCCCTCGGGGGTAGAATTGATCAAAATCCTTTCTTAGCGGATGCCTACGTCATAACATCTACCTGCATGCCAAATTTCAGCCCGATTCATTCAGTGGTTTGGGCTGTGCATTGATAGATCACTATGTCAGTCAGTCACCTTTGAGTTTTATATATATAGATATATATTTGGGGAATTAGTTTCTGTTTGAGGTTAGAGATTAATCTACGTTCGGTAATAGTAATTTGCCCAGATGAATCTGTGAAGACGTAACTAAAAATCTGTCGCCTCTGCGATGCTAATACCGAACGTAGCTAATAAGTTTGATATTAGTACGCTACGAAGAAAACAATCATTTTTAGCAGCCATTTTGTCTATACTCCTAAACTAACTGTAAAAACTTTATTGGCCATTGTCTGACTCACGTTAATTTATTTATATGTATTATCATGTGCTGTATGTTGCTCATAGCGTTTTAAATAAATTAATAAATATAAGTTGATAAATGTGAAATAAAATGTGTTGAAAATTCGTCCACCAATGAATAATATAATTTTGTACGGATCAGTGGTTTAAGATTCCTTCCGAAGCACAGAGATTCTCGAGATAAGTAGTTTTTGGAAGCACAGAGGATCGACGACCTCCGTGGCCGAGTGGTTTGTACGCCGGGTTTCATGGTGTCGCTGACTCGAGAGGTCCCGGGTTCGAATCCCGGTGGGGGCAGATGTTTGTATGATGAATACGAGCATTTGTAAGTACTCCAATCATGGATATTTAATATAGAAAGAAATAATAGAAATACTTCTACATAAATATACTTATTTATGTACAGTATATGTATTCTATCCGTTACCCTAGCATCCCATAACACAAGCCTTACAGTGCTTACTTTGGGGCTAGGTTAATTGGTGTGAGTGTTGAAAATATTTATTTATTATTTATTTATAAGTAGTTTTTGGAAGCACAGAGGACCTCGAGATAGGTAGTTTTTGGAAGCACAGAGGATCTCGAGACAAGTACTTTTTGGTCGCCCATCCTATGACCGGTCATTTTGAAAGTTGCTTAACATTCACGATCGCAGACCGACAAACGGGCTACCAACTGCACCACCGTGCTCCTCATAGAAATAGACATAAACATGCGTTAAATTTAATTGACTTTTTTGAGTACAGGTTTTAGTGGTCTTAATTTGCTACCCCGTATTACCAAGGCTGTGATTGACACTTAGGTAATGAAAAAACATGCATGATTGTTCTATTTAATGATTTTATGTTAAATTATTTGCCTGATGGATTTTAAAATAAGGATTGAATTGTAAACAAAAAGGGAACGTTAAAAAAATATTGGTATATAAAAATATAAGTTCAAAAAAGGTATTTTTTTGTTATACTTTCAGAACCATAATAATGTTGTTTTGTTATAAATAGAAGTAGATAATATTTGTCCAAATGTGTGCTAGAATTACCAAAAAGCTATGCATTAAAATAAAATTGTTTTTGTAATATCGATGTTTCGATGTTGTTACATTAAAAATGTTCTTGCCATAATATGTGTTTGTTTTATTTATATTTATGCACCCTGGCAAAATTTATGACCTAAACCATAGACAACGGGGCCTGCACAGTTGCATTTTTACGCATTAGAAGTTTCAGCAATAAACTGTTAGGTTACCAAGATGGAGTCCCCCAAGGATCACACCTTGGTCCTTTGCTGTTTATCATATTTATAAATGATCTCATTTCTAATTTAATAATGCCATATTTGTTTCTTAGGTTTTCACGCACATCACTCATTAAATAAAACTAGTTTTAACGGGTTAATGCACGAAACTTTATTTATTTATTGACGTTTCGCAGCCTTTTCAGGTCTGCATCGTCAGAATAATGATTTAAATAAAGTAAACTAGAATTTTAAATAAAGTATTTTATTAACTAAATTAACTAATAAATTCATACATAGACAATAAAATTTTAAAAATCCTCCAATGAAATAACCGAACGCTCAATAAAAGTCTTTCGAAGGTAGCTCGACAAAATTAAATAAAAAATCACTATTCTGACGATGCAGACCTGAAAAGGCTGCGAAACGTCAATAAATAAATAAATTTCGTGCATTAACCCTTTAAAACTAGTTTTATTTAAACATAAAAATAATGAAATTGATACATTTATAACAAACTACTTTCAGGGTGTACTTAATTCTTTTACAAGTTGCATTATTTAAGAGCTAAAATGATTTTGTCGCAAAACATTTCGTGGTTTTATCACGGGTTTTTTTTTAAAAGTACTTCAGCCTCTGGAAAATGGTGAATTCGCGTTTGTGGCCAAGTAGAAAAGGCCTCTCGCTCTGAAAAAAGAATTCATAAAAACTTACAAATACAATTTCGTGAAATATCATCATCATCATCACCAGCCTATTAATGGCCCCACTGCTGGGGCACAGGCCTTCTCTATGGATGGAATAGGGAGATTGGGCCATGACCCACCACGCGGGCCCAGTGCGGATTTGTGGGTGCTAACGACTGCAGATGCAGCCGGGACCAACGGCTTAACGTGCCTTCCAAAGCACGGAGGAGCTCGAGATAGAAGATTTTTGGTCACCCATCCAATGATCGACCACTGCGAAAATTGCTTAAGTTCAACGATCGCAGCCGAACGCGCTAACCACCCGCGCTATCGAGCTCCTCACGAAATATAATATAGTGAAAATTTTCTAAGTTTAACATATTTTCTTAAGCCGTCTACTCATGTTCCTGCAGCAGCGCAGGGGCCTACACACATTATAATTTTATATACTACTATAAATTTATAAAACATAATGTAAATATAAATGTATTGCATACCCGGGCCGGTGGTCTTAGACTACCCGGTAGTTACCACTTCTCGTGCCACCCGGGCAGCTATGGCTCGCGTACAATGGTTCACTTAAGGATAAAGTGCGGAAACCATATCCTTTAACATAATATTAACTGCTTATTTAAAGCAAGAAAACAAAGTAACTCGTAACGCCTTCGCCAGTTTACCCCCCAAGTCGACCTTTGACGACCTCCGTGGCCGAGTGGTTTATACGCCGGGTTTCATGGTGTCGCTTACTCGAGAGGTCCCGGGTTCAAATCCCGGTGGGGGCAGATGTTTGTGTGATGAATACGAGCATTTGCACTCCAGTCATGGATGTTTCATATGTATTTCTATATAAATATACTGTACAATATATGTATTCTATCGGTTACCCTAGTATCCCATAACACAAGCCTTACAGTGCTTACTTTGGGGCTAGGCTAATTGGTGTGAGTGTTCAAAAAAAGTCGAGCGTGCCTTCAGAAGTTTCACTTCAACAAAATACCAATAAAAAGAGATACCAACAAAATACCAAAGAGTTCTCTCTCACCCCGTCTTGGGACTGAGCCCACCCATCCTTAAAGTATTAGGCATGAAGCAGTTGCCCGTCAACGCGTTCTGAAGAGATGGACACTGGCGGCCCGTGAACCCGCCTCGGGTCAGCGACTCCGCGTAAAACAGGTAGGCTCTGGAATTGTAAATAGTAAATTAGGTAGAGTCTGTGCGGAAAGAGAATGGGATTTAGATTGGAGGGCGCTGTAGTGCTTTTCTACCGTATTTGTAAGGTTTTACCCCTTTTAGACATGATTAAATACAAAAAACCGCAAGAAATCACAATCACAAGAAACAAATCCGTATCAATGCAAAACTTTGACGTTTTACAGATTGCTGGGTTTGATTGCCAAATAAAAATCTTAATGTTAGTTCCGTTTTTCGCCACGCCTATTCTCTTTCCACACAGACTCTAAGTATATTCGTAGACTAGCAACAGCCCGGCACTTCGTCCGCGTTACCTTATTGTTTTTTTTTTCTAAAATAAAGGTAGCCTAAGTTACTTCTTATTACAACATCAGCTACCTGCCAATAAAAGTCCCGTTAAAAGTCCAGCCATTTCAGAGATTAGCCGGAACAAACAGACAGACAGACAAAAATTGTAAAAAAAAGTTATTTTGGTGTGTGTACCGTATATATATTCATATGCATGTAGTAAAAAGCGGTTATTTCTATATTACAAACAGACACTCCAATTTTATTTATATTAATAGATATGGGATTTTGCGGTAAACACGGATAACTAGGCAATCGCGATAACATTGCTCAATTTGTATTTCTGTTTTATTTTTTTATTTTTATACATATTTATTTTTTGCGATAGTCAGTTGTCACGAGAACCATAGATGTCAATTGAAAACCAGCGTCAGGTCCCACAAACCTGACAACATGCTGAATTGACAACCTGTTTTGAAGCAGCCGCGAGATAGCAACAGATTAAATCACCGGTGGTAACGAACGGTGTGAAAAATTGTGTATGTTACTTTTTTGCTGTGTTGTTATCCTATTGTTTACGATTATTTTTCTATTTTTCTTGTATTTTTTTGTTGCTCAAAATCTTGTATCTACTCTCTCGTTGTTTGTGTCAGAATAAATGTATTTTCTTTCGTTCTTTCTATTTTACTGTTAATTAAAAAAAGTGTGTGCGTTTCGAGACGCACGTCAGAAGTGATAACTTAAACTAGTCGGTGTCGATCCCTCTCCGATAGGTATGTGTGCTATGGCGCTAGTACATCCATAGGTAAGGCCAGCAGAGACATTGATAATCTGATGACGACGATGGGCCGAAAAGCTCGATAACACGGGTAGTGAGCGCGTTCGGCTGCGATCGTTGAAGTTAAGCAACCTTGTGGCCAAAAATTTACTATCTCCAGCTCCTCCGTGCTTCGTAAAGCACGTTAAGCCAGTCCATACTGCATCTGCATATAGATATAAGCTGATGAAGATGATGGGTTCCCCCACGACAACGACTAACTAGAGCCGAGGTCCGAGTCTCAGAGACGCCCTCTAGTTGAACCGATCCCCTCAGGTTCGAGTGGTCTAGAGGCTCCGACGACGGACGGAGAGGAGACTCCCCCCGTGGGGAGACGCCATCCGCCTGGAATACCTCTAGAGGCACTCGCCAATTCTCGGCTTGAGGTCCCCTTAGGATCTCGCCGTCCCCACCCTCGGTGACGCTGTAAAGGTCATCTGCGACCAACAGCATACACACTCAAAATGAAAAAAAAGATGATGGGTTGGGTACCTAGCATGGTTGCATCCGAAGTCGGTGCCACATCCAGGGTTGTTATCCCCGCCGTTGACGTAGAAGTCTGCATGAGCTATTGGTTGGTCACCCATCCCGCCGACCGCTGTACGAATCGTCTCAGTGTACTGGGCATCATCAGGCCTGATGGTGTCGGGCATGCTAGGTTGATGGAGGGGATCGAGACCTAATAAATAAATTATAAATATTCTAACACTCATACTAATGTAAGAATTGGGAGGTCGAGCGAACGTTATACAATGTTTTGACATGTTTTAATAACTATATTAATACGCTAGAAAGTATACGACATGATATAAAAGCTTTTCAAAATCAAAAAATCAAAATTAATATCGTTTATTCAGTCTAGCGGCTGTTACAAGCACTTGTGAATGTCGAAAAGCTACGCCATCGGTTCGCAAATCTACGGCGGGAGACCTTGTACTGTGAAGAATCGGCAAGAAACTCAGCAAGGGCTGTTGTTTATTTGGTTTATGTTCGCAAGAGCGGAGACGTTAGCGGTTTTCCTGATGTCATGACTTATAATCACTCAAAGTCTGACGATCCCGAGCAAATATGTAAACTGTTCAGTAGTTTTTTGGTTCCTTATTTGAGTCAAGTACTATCGATAAATTTGATAGTAACTACATGCGGAACACAACAACAGTGTCTTTGTAATATCTGATGTTAGCTTTTTACGTAATCAAGATACTAAACACAATAGACGTAAACAAAGGTCATGGGCCCCACAATATCCCACCCCTCTTCATTAAGAGCCCTTTTACAAAATTGCGCCGCTGCCGTACTGATCGGCGCGTAGGTAGATTTGTCTAGTATATAGGTATTACATTTTACGGGTGATGTTTCGAGTCTTATAAAATAATTATTAATGAACTAATTATAAAAATATATACATACTTCAGTAGTTCAATGATGGTAGATTAGTTTTATGAAAGTTTTTGATAGTAATTCTATTTAATTCAATATCAAAATACGAGGTAAATCTGCATAATTTTTGGGAAAACTTCCGGAGGTTAGATGTTTTTTTTTGATAATTAATTAGATGGAAAATCAAAATTCTAATACATTATGTTACAATAAAACATATTTCTGATGTCGTAGAAATTAATTTGATCTAATTTATTGAACATTATTTAGAGATTCAGGCGTTTAAAGTTGTGCATATTAATGTTTTTTCCGTAAATTAGCAGCGGTAGAACGAACAGTACAAAAGAAGGAAAATAGTATTTGCAAATATTCTACATTAACTTACAATAAGAAGAATAAATATACTGTTTACTTATATTGAAAATAGTCAAAATCTTTTGTAAGGGGGTAAACGAGGCGCTCAAAAATTAGGATGTTTTGCAAAAAATGTGAAAGGGCTCTTAAATTGACGGCTGAAGCTTCATATGTCCCACTAGTGATACTCTTCAATAAATGCATGAGAGAAGCAACTATACCTCAAATATGGAAGAGTGCTAATATCACTCCTATCTATGTGGAACCAAAAATAATGTTCGTATTATCGCCCTATTTCTTTTTTGGCAACCTTGTCGAAGGTGTTATAGAGACTAGTTGAAAATGCCATTTATCCTCAATTACATACTACTACATTGAAGCAACAACATGGCTTTGTGAAACAAATTAATATTTTAACACTGGCATCGCAATACATTTATGAAAATTTAGTATATGTAAGAAAAAACTATGACGCATTTTCAAAAAAAAGTCAAACCCATAACTTTAACACGAGATATAATAACAAACTTGCCGTTCCATGTTTCAGACTCCAAAAATCAAGAGGTTCATTTCTGGGATGTAGTATTGCATTGTTTAACAAAGTTCCCCAAGATCTGATTGAGCTTCCACTAACCAAATTTAAATCTCAGATTAAGAATACTCTTATGAATAAGGGCTATTATAAAGTTAATGATTATCTAAATGATCGAAATGCATGGACATAGTGTTTCTTGTAATTTGTTATTTGATGGGTATGAGTCAGTTTTTGAAACAGTAATATGGTACCTATCTAATGCCGCTTCCTATATACTAAATATAAAATTTATTGTAACTATATATCTATATCCTTAATAATGTAATGGAAGGTGACTTCAGATGTATCTCTGAAATCATTTTTCAACTTGACGACTCTGTATATATCAATACAGGGAGAAAAAAGCAGCCCTTGCTGAGTTTCTTGCCGGTTCTTCTCAGTACAAGGTCTCCCGCCGTAGTTTTGCGAACCGATGGCGTAGCTTCTTGACCTTCACAAGTGCTTGTAACAGCCTAGACTGAATAAATGACTTTTCATTTCATTTCATTTCATTTCATTTCATTTCAAAGATCGACTGAGTCTAATTTGTTGTTATTTAGTAACTTTCTCTTTAAGCATGGATCAGCGCACTCAGGTTGACACAATCTACACTGACTTCTGCAAGGCCTTCGACAAAGTTGACCACGAAATTCTCCTTAGAAGAGTTTGGAAAAATGCAAGTCAGTACATTTACAAAAAAAAAATAACAAAACTCATTTTACTTATTCTCTGGGTACAAAATTTTATTGTACAACTGTTTGTTATTCTAAATAAATAAAAAAAAAATATCGGATGCGTAACTGCGATATCTGTTATTAGTACATTAAGTATGTATTACGACGGCTACGAGGTAGTACATATTGCTGCGATAATAACGACGCAATAAAAGTATGACGAAATATCGCAATAACGCGTCCGATATTATCGACCGATAATAACGAGCCTATGGGCGGGAGGCTTTTAATACCACTATACAATACATCATGTCACTTCAGCAGCTGTTCCTTTTTTTGTACATTCTGTAATAGGGGGAATTTTATTCAAATTCTCGAAGAAGTCAGATAGCTGCAACAAGGAACCCTTACCCAACATATATGAGACTTGTCCCTGAACATGTCTGGCTACCAGTCTAGCCTTCAGTCCGCCCAGGCTGAATCCGACTATGGTGAATGCGTTGGAATTCTGACCCGTCGCTGACATCAACCAGTTGATGAATCCGGCAACGAATCGAGCTGGAAATAAATTAACATCAACACTATCGTATTAAGGAATAGGCTAGTTGACTCATGTCGAATTGTACTAAATAAATGTTTATTTCTTACAGTATTTGGTCTAAGGAACCTAAATATATCGATTTTACTTCATAAAAGCAGAAGATTGCTGTAGAAATTTAATTTTAAAAAATTTTTTTTAGTCTATATTTTTTAAACACTAAAAACGCTGTTCGCCACATCCGCCATGATTTTGACGTCTCTTTCAGTAAACAACTAAATGTCATTCGCGTGTTATTGTGGGTGGATTCTTTAGTCTGAATAAATTTATCTTAAAACACTTTTATCTTTAGAAAAGTTTCCGTTTACTGTTTTTTTTTTTTATGACAAAACTAATTATGGATGCCTGCTTTGTAAAAGCAGAAAGCACAAATCTGAATTTTTTGCACTAAACCCCGATTTCTGCTCTGCGGAGCAGAGAAACGACAAGGCATCTATGTAAGTACAGTGCATTTAGTATTACAATGTAGTAATAAACATAAAACTGATACAACATATGAATAAGTGTAATAAAGTTGCGTAGGTTAATTTCTTTCGGCACTTTAATCCACAACATTCCTGGAGTCTTCAAGGATGTGGTTTTATATTCTCGTACAATACAATAATGATGATTACTTTATTTTTCGTGATATTTATTAGAAATCATGTTCTTTTTATTATAAACTCGGATAGGTAAGTTATTTTCTACGTGCTTACGGGTTTTTGTTTACTACTGTTGACATCATAGCATAGACAATTTATAGACTAAAATGGCCGACAGCGTTTTTGTATGTCCATGAAAATTCTATTTTAAAATTAAAGATTTGTAGCTTTCTAGGTCTCAAAAAAATACAAAACATTTTTTTTCGGTCTAATAGAACATTTATTAACCATTTAAAACCTTTTTCCAAAAAGGGTCAACTAGCCTATTATCAAAGAGACTCAACGAAGTGACTGGTGACCAAAAGGCTGACAGTTATCTTGGTCAACAGCTCAGCTTTACTATTCAACGTGGCAATGCTGCCAGCCTATTGGGCACTATCCTGACGGCGGCGCTGGGGGTGACTAATTAAGTAACCGTATTTAATTGTAATTCATATTTAAATTGTATATATTAGGTAGTTTAAAAAAATAATATATTGTTTTAAACATTCATCGTCATTAATATTATAGTAATATTAGTTATTTACGGGATTGTTACCATGGACCTTGTTTTTAGCGAGTTTCCGTCCATCTAGACACAAACTAAGACACCAAAGACACAGAGTAGACAGACAACCTGTTTATTTGCTATATGTCAAAAGAGTGACTGACAAGATGTCAAACATACTAAATAAGTACTCACTAAACACTGTCTTCACTCCTTTACGAAAGGTTTCACAATACCTACGGTCTCCTAAAGACAACTTCCTCTTGGAGAAACCTGGTGTCTATAAGATCGATTGCAGCTGTGGCAGTTCGTACATTGGCAAAACAAAGCGAACAGTAGTAGCATGCCGAATGTGGGAACACATAAAAGCAATCAAGAACAACGATACGCAGAAATCAGCCATCGCGGAACATTTGATTGATTCTGGTCCTAATCACTGGATTGAGTTTCATAACCCACAGATTATCTCGAATTCTCGACAGAACGCCACTACAAACCAACATTGGTCAGGGAAGCGATTGAAATAACAAAACATAAAAATTTCAATCTTGAGGACGGGTTTAAATTGTTGAGTGTCTGGAATCCTGTGGTTCGTATGTGCAAAACCGGAAATAATCAAAAAAGTGTCGTGTCGCGATCCGATACTGTAATGTGTTGTGTGTCGAGAACAGTTTCGAGTGAATAGTGAGAATGTGAACAGTGCTACGGGTATCGAACGCAATAAAAGACTTCGTCGGAGGGTAGACTGATATGCCTGCCAATAACAGCCTACCCGCAATTACTTCAGTCACTCCGTGATCATGGCGCTTGCAACAGTGCCGAAAACAGTGTTAAAAACAAGGTAACAATCCCGTAAATAACTTATATTACTTTAAAAAAATAATTATCGTTATTATTCCTTGATGAACCGGAAGTGCTATAAAGTGGCTCCCCATACATCTGCGCAGGAATCTCAGAATCCTTTGTCTCCTTTTCAACATCCTTTATATCCTTCCTATCTTAGAGAGCGGTTTTCTTTCACCCACTCGCCTGATGTTCCTTGCCGGTCCCACCTAAAATCCCTTCTCAAATGTCCTACTCACAAAACTGACTTTGCATCCTACTCTTTTACAGTATATGCCATCCGCTTATGGAACTCGTTGTTAGCAGAAATCAGAGACGCCCAGACTATTTCTACCTTTAAAAAACGATTGAAGGAACACTACCGTTCTACTCGAATATCTAAAACTTTATTGCTGCTCCTAGTAAGTTTTTATTTATTTTATTTGTTAATATTGTATATATATGTATTGTATGTTTATGTATGTATTGCATATGTATTATGTTATATTTATTCAGGAGCACACACTGACTGCCTTTTTCCATGTTTTTTCCTTTCGCGGGCCTGCTGGAAGAAATTTCATTATGAAATAAGCAGTGCCCTTGTACATGTCTCTTGTTTCTCTTTTTTCTAATATTTTATTGTGTGTGTACAAAATAAATAAATAGAATACTTTAGCTGCAAAGTTTCTACTGGAGACACCTACTAAAATGTAACGTTTAGTTTCACGTCACTCTTTGTAAATTTAAATTATAAAACAAAACTTACATCATGGAATCTGAAATTTATAGAGCTTGTAAAGGGTTCGATAAGTCAGGAATAATAAAAAAGTAAATAAAACTAGTTTTAACAGGTTAATGCACGAAACTTTATTTATTTATTGACGATACGTATGATATGTATTCTGACGAAGCAGACCTGAAAAGGCTGCGAAACGTCAATAAATAAATTAAGTTTCGTGCATTAACCCGTTAAAACTAGTTTTATTTAATGAGTGATGTGCGTGAAAACCTAAGAAACAAATAAAAAAAAGTAATTAAATGGCGTTTTATGTCTGTTCCAAAAGTGATTTATAAAATAAATAAATTATTATTTGCAAGGTAATGCTTATAGTGCACATAATTGGATAGTTTAACTTTAGCCTATGTATTCAAACGTTCGTTGGTCTGTAGTTATGCCCAATTGGGCGTGGCGTGTCGTGACGCGCCGGAAGTACATCGGTTTCATACATTTACTATGGTTAGAGACATTGACGTGTCGTGTCGTGTCGACTCTCTAACCTCTCTCTCTCTTACCCATAATAAATGTATGAAACCGTTGCGTCACGACACGGCACGACACGTTAATGTATTTTCACTTTATGTTCTTACCAGAGTCAATTGCTTGTTGAATGACTTGAGGCGAAGGGTTAGCCCCACGACTCCAGTCAACTGTGATCACATTCCTGTCATCCGCTTGCAATATGGCTGCAGAAATAAAATGACAATGGTATACAAGGTACTACCGGGCGACAAGCCCACAGTTTTGCAAGGCCCAAGCGCAGAAATCCATTTAAATAGCATTTGAAGACGACGGGGATTCCCCCGTCTCCTTGCCCTCACCCGCGTCGGGGAGAGTCCACGTGAGCTTGTTCCTCGCGAACCCTCTCGGCAGCCTCCTTCTGCGAGATGACATCCTCGCAGAAAGAATGTGTTTTCTTCCTACGTTTTAACTACCGATTAACACAATGAGGATCATTATTAGGTCATCAAATCAATTCTAAATCAATATAATGATCTAATAAGTTTTTTAATTAATATTATTTTTAAATCATCGAAATCGGTTCATTCGTTGCAATTTTATAACTAATTTTCTGGTAGCCAATATTCACCGGCGCGGCCGAAACGTATGACGTCACAGAGCTCGATTGTGGTTCACTCCGGTCGAATTTCAGTAGTGTCTCTACACACGTTCGCGCCCGAGCGCTAGAGCTCTGTTATGTCACCGCCACCACGCGGCTAGCCGAAAATTTGTTTAGTAATTTAGTCATAACTTCGTCAATATTTGTTCTAGAACAAAAATTTAACTACTGTGTTTTATGGGATCCGTAGATCTATAAATCTGCATTCTTAACTAAAATCGTTACGGATCCTCAATGTGAAACGGCTCCTCTTTGGAAAATTTAATAATAACTAAAAAATTGGTAAATCAGTTCATTTTAATCATCACGAAACTCACTTTCTGTAGGTTTAACTTTGATAGTCGTAAGTTTTATACTTTTTGAGAAAATCAACTTCGAGTTTCGAGGTAGCAAGTGACCCTATTTATTTGCTGTTCAGTGTAGAATAAATATTAACAAACCTGGTATGACGACTTGATTGAAATGATCGTCGGGGCTGCCAGCCATCCCGTGGATCACTATAGTTGTCTGCTTTCCACCATCGTAGTTAGACTGAGACAGAAGATTTGTGAGGCCCTGCACTAAAGGTTGGCTGGTCGTGGGGTTGTCTCTGCGAATTAAATAAAAAAAACAAAGTAGGTAGGAGTTGTTCAAGTAGCCTTTTATTAGGCAAAAGATGGCGCTGAAGCAATCTTAATCGCAGTTTAGTTACGATCCCTTAGTTTCACATTACAATAATTTTTGTATCCTTCTTTGGATAAAGATTGCTGCTTGGCTTATGACATGAGTTCAGTCGTAGAAAAGTTTATAAAAAAGTTCAGTCCGGCAAGGTGAGGAATGCATCATCCCTCTCTGAGGGGATGATCGCTGCAGATGAAGCTTGTAAGGACCTTCCGGCCATAAGCATCAACTACGGGTGTGTTTTAGTCAGTAGGAATCTGACCATAACCTTGCAGTAGGGTATATATGAGGATCCCCCTCCTGGGAGGATGGCTGGAGCAAGAACACCCTCTGCAGCATCATCTGTTTTCGCAACTGGACTCCAATTACACTTAACATCAAGTGGGGTAGGGTAATTTGTTGTTGAAATTGTGTTGTTTAAAGTGTTTTGAATTTAATTAAACCATCGCTATACAAACCTAGTAAAAAGATGGTAGTGATTGTCTCGTGCAGGATCAAATCTGAACGATCTTCCCAAATTGAGCCAAAAGTCCTGAATTTTATCAGGGTTAGGTCCACGATTGTCGGCCGGTGTTAATACTATGGGGTCCGGGATCGATTGTGCTGGGAATATAAAAGGGAGGAAAATCATTAGTCTATTAATGAAAGAAAGAAAGAAAAAATATTTTTCCAGCTGTACTACAATCACAAACAAAATACAGCATCTAAAAAAAGATAAAAGAAATATTGTTACAGTTGTAAAAAAGTCTGTTAAAATGGTGTTACAGTGGCAAAAGCTTAGCATATGCCATGACGCTGTCAGCAACATGCCAGGTATAAATATTGATTCCCAACTGGTTTGTTGCTTCAGTCTAACGCAATCTGATCCTGCTTATCGAAAGTTAACTAGAGTAATGTTCTAATAAGGATGATGACGAGGTAAACAAAATTAAATTCTTTTTAGTCCGTTATTGTATATGTTTGATCATGGATAATTATTTTGATAGTGACGTCGCTTCTAAGTAAAAATTATACCAAGTAGTAACATCACGCGATATTTGAAATCAATGGACCTATCTCTGTATTGTTTTGATTACGTGAATAAAGATAAATATATGTTCAATACTTTTTGATAATTTAACTTGATAGATGAAGAAATGAAAGTTAGTCGTCATCCCTATAAGTAGAGAAATTCTTAATTTGCAGCTGTGAAAAGCAAAATAAATATAACATTAGTAATCAGTGCAGTCTCTGACCTTTTGGAGGCCCTGGGCATATTAGGATAATGGGGCCCCTGTGACTTCCGTTTGGTGTTTTAACAGGAACTAGGGACTTTGTATTTGATCTAAGGGGGCCCCCTATCGATCGCAGGGCCCTGGGCACTTGCCCAAAGTGCCCACTGGGAAAGACGAGTCTGTTTGTAATTATTACAAATTAATAATAATAATAATAAATATTTCCGACACTCACACCAATTAGCCTAGCCCCAAAGTAAGCACTGTAAGGCTCGTGTTATGGGATGCTAGGGTAACGGATAGAATACATATACTGTACATATATAAGTATATTTACATAGAAATACATATTAAACATCCATGACTGGAGTACAAATGCTCGTATTCATCACACAAATATCTGCCCCCACCGGGATTCGAACCCGGGACCTCTCGAGTCGGCGACACCATGAAACCCGGCGTACAAACCACTCGACCACGGAGGTCGTCAAATGAATTAGAACAAAAGATGGTATTGTTCAAAAGATAGTAGTACAGCTGTTGCTGATGTATATTTTCTTAGACCACGGAGTCTACTCTCTTTCTCCGAAACGAACTTTCGATAACGAAGTTCAAACGAAATTTAATTTCTACATTTTAATGTTATACTTAATTTGAAAAATAAACTATCAAATTGAAGCTTTCTTTGAGTAGCTTTAAATCTACGCCTAGTAGAAAATCTACGCCTGAATCTATATTCCGGCGATGAATATTATTATTTAAATTGAAAATGAACCAGAAACATAGTAAGAAAAGTGCGAAGTTTCGATCTAAATTTAGTTTTTCGTTGAACTAGAGTAGGCCTCCAGAGTATTGACAACCTAGACAGAAGCGGCGAAGGCAATGACCTGTCACTCGGTACGCATTCTGAGGACCGACATATAAAGGTCCTGGTGCCTTTATATGTCGGTCCTCAGAATTAGTAATTATATGGAAACATTACTATCAAACAAAGCCCACTAAAACATGGATCCAAACTCATGCAACTGAACTGTAATACTAACGCGACACGTGCACAGACGAAACAAAATACTTTGCCATTACTTTTTGATCAATCTACCTGGGGGGCATTCGCCTAACGAAAATGCTTTGGAAAAAACTAACGCTTTCGATTTCATTTTGTTATTTCTGACGGCCGAAGGTTTTCAAATACCTCACGCTCATTGTCTTTAATATTGTTATTAGCAATGCAAAAGAAAAAAAAGAGCGCGAGGCATTTGAAAACCTCAGGCGGCTAGAAATAACAAAATGAAATTGTAAGCGTTAGCGTTTCCCAAAGCATTTCCGTTAGGCTAATGGCCCCCTGGTAGGTGAAGAAAAAAAGTTAGTATCCGTATTGTCAAGGTACAAGCTCTCCTTATATACGGGCCATGACCAGAGCTACCTACTACTTACCAATAAAATATTTGAAAAATCTTGCCAAACATCTGAAATTTGTACGTCACTTATCCGGATTTACTGAATGTATGATGTACCATGGGTTGGTACACTACAACTACGCCCATGCTTAGAGTACCAATAACTAGGTAGAGTACCTAGGGGGGTACACTCTCCGTACTATTACCGTCCGTGTGTACGTACCCAGTACATTGTTAAAACTTTTAAATAATCATAAATTAGGTTTTAATAGAGGTAAGGTATTACGGATTTTCCGCTCTAATTGGAGCGCATTTTTGGGAAAGTAACCTCCATCTTGTAGATGATACAGTGCCGTCTTTGACGTATTGGAGGCCCTGGGCATATTAGGATAATGGGGCCCCTATGACCACCGTTTCGTGATCTAACAGGAACAAGGGACTATCGATCGCGGGGCCCTGGGCACTTGCCCAAAGTGCCCACTGGTAAAGACGGGTCTGAGAAGATAACAGTATAACATCACTACCTTTTGGTGGTGTTGTGTTTCTGTCTATGAGTAAGGAGCCCTAGAAGGCTCCAAAGGGTAGGTGATTGGGTGGGAGTCGGCAACGGTGCGAGTGATAATTTGGTCCAGTACCTGTTGGACCCTCACGATTCGACACGAAAGCAAAAAGTGCCCATTGGACCTCAATTACATGGCCCATTGGACATCCTAAAAATTTATATATTTTATGTGCTCATTGGACCTTCAAGATTAGACCCTACTGCAACTGTACCCACTGGACCTTATTTGTATATCCCACTCGAGCTCTTTAAAAGGTTATATAGAAAGTGCCTATTGGACCTCTTTTATGGGACCGATTGGACCTTACTGACAGATTTGTTAAGAAAAGTACAATCTTGTAGAAAATTGAAGACAAAATTGGTCTTTTGGTATCGCAAGTTGATCGCAAGCATCTATAGGCAGCCGCTCCCCCAGGCGCCTGTTCTCCACCCATTTAATAGAAAAATAAGGTTCAAGTAAAAATGTTTACATGTAAAATTATTTACCTGGAATAACAGCAAAGAAGCAAAACACCAGATTAAAAACTAAACTATTCATTTTAATGTTAGTATGTAGTACACATTCAAATAAAGTTCCTCCTTATATAGATAGAAATGTTGGTATCTGATCATTATGATATAGTCAGCGTGTGATGATTATTGCGTTACTTAATACTTTATCAACGATTTCGTAATCTGTTTGTTTTGACAAACAAAAAACACAAGAATTAAAATAATTTGAGGTTTTTCAGAAATTTCGTTATCTTTGCAGCGTCACGTTTTACTAATGATAATGTAGGAATTTTGTATTACGACTATCACTGTTTGTTTATGTTTTTAAATGTTATGTAAAGGCACAGCGAGAGGAAGGGCACAGCCGATTTTAATAGAGGTACGGCACGGCGGATTTTAAGAGAGGTGTGGCATAGCGGATTTTATGAGAGGTACGGAACGGCGGATTTTAAGAGAGGTACGGCATAGCGGATGTTATGAGAGGTACGGAACGGCGGATTTTAAGAGAGGTACGGCATAGCGGATTTTATGAGAGGTACGGAACGGCGGATTTAAAGAGAGGTACGGCATAGCGGATTTTATGAGAGCTACGGAACGGTGGATTTTAAGAGAGGTACGGCATAGCGGATTTTATGAGAGGTACGGAACGGCGGATTTTAAGATAGGTAGGGCACAGCGGGTTTCAAGAGACGCATGGCACAGCGGATTTTAAGAGAGGTACGGAACAGCGGATTTTAAGAGAGGTACGGAACAGCGGGTTTTAAGAGAGGTAGGGCACAGCGGGTTTTAAGAGAACTATGGAACAGCGGATTTTAAGAGAGGTACGGAACAGCGGATTTTAAGAGAGGGAGGGCACAGCGGGTTTTAAGAGAACTATGGAACAGCGGATTTCAAGAGAGGGACAGCACAGCGGATTTTAAGTGAGCACAGCGGATTTTTAGTGAGGTACGTAACGGTGGATTTTCCTTTCGAATTGGAGCTCCCGTCTGCGGAAGCAACCTCTACCTTACAGAAGACCGCAATAAAATAACCTACCTTATGGTAGTGTTGTGTTTCTGCTGGTGAGTAGGGTTCCAGGGCTCGCGGGGAAGGGGATTTGGTCCAGGCTGGCAAGGTGACGCTGGCTGGAGAGGTACACTTTCAGCCGCATCATTTATCTTAGCGGTGACTCCAATTACATTTAACATCAGGTGGGGTGGGGTATTTGTTGCACCTCGTATAAAAAATTTGTTTGCACAGACCACACATCTGAAGTGAAACTTTTTTCCTTAAATAACCTAACACTAGGCGGTGCATAAGCCATAGGGGAATGGAACAAGGCATGCATCACTCATATATATTATATTATACAGGATGTAAAAAAACCTTTAACGAAATCAAAGGCCACGTATTTTTCACATCATGACGATAATTTTTTTTCTCCTGGTTCATACCTGGGAAATTTATGGTTATGGAGATATTGAAGGTCAAAGTCACAATTTTTTTTTCAAGATTTTTACATTAATATTTTCAAATCGTTATTTAGAAATTTTTGATTTTTGAAACTTTTTGACACACACGCACACACATACACACAGGCACATTCTTTGCGTAGCGCCACAGTAGCGCGTCGCGCTATACATTGCGTACTGGAAAGAAAAGGTATTTTTTTAACTTAAAAATACAATTATTTCCCACGTGTAATATTCTGTAATATTACTTGTTTGGGTGTACAGAATGCGTAGTTTGAGTCTTTGGCATAGGATTTTTTACACCCTGTATATTCTCGCGTGTGACGCTCGTAGCGTTTCCACCACCGCCGATTTACCCTCCAACTTTCATGCTTATCGGAAAGAGCTGCGCACGCATCCCGCACATACACATATATATAGCCGTGTGACACTCGTGACCCATTTCCGTATCATCCTTTACTTAGGATTTTTCCATTTAGAAGTCAGCTTTTATTACATTACGTGAAATATACCTACATTAATTGTTCACCTGCATTTCTGATTTCTGTGTCGTACATATAAAAGAGCGTTGTGTCACCTTTTAGGTACAAAACTAGTGATGTATCGGTCCCGGAAGGAATGGTAAATTACCATTGGTAATATTTCCGAAAATATTCTCAGTTTACAATGATTCGCAATATTCTCGGAAATTAGGAGTTATTATTTAAATAATTAATCTATACTAAATTAATTGATGGGATTTTTTTAATTTTGCCCAATGATTTTTTTGATGAAGTATCATCACAATTAACCTAAATTCCTCTTTAAAATCACATTGTAAATCTCATTTGCGAGTATTTTTTTAATAAACTTTCCGTACCTTATAATATAGTATCTCTTATCTATTAGACAAGTCCGTCCGTCCGTGGTGCTGTTTCAGCGGCCAAACCGTAAGAGATAGATATAGAGAATGTTTAAGTTATAAGTTAAGAATAGTCTGATAAGACTACAAACCGGATGTGAGTAACGTAGCACTTCCGGTTTTCGAGAAATCACGTGATTTCTATTTCAAACGAAACCACACAAAATCTCCGAAGTTCTCAATTAATTAAATACATTTTTTTTTTGGTGAACATTTGGTTCACTGGTTTGCTAGTTATATCTAATATGGATGCAATAATTACATAGTATAGTTATATTTTTTATTATTTAAAAGCATGTAACTGCTTGATGTTTAAATCTAAAGAAAATATAACTAGAAAAATGTTCCACGCGGACCAGGCAGCAGACGGGACTCGAACCCGCACAATTATGCTACATAGTATAATATTTCAAACAGAGAAACGAAGGGCAATTCTATAAGGCTGTGGGTGTAATGGTGACCACTGTCAAACTGACTGTGTTTGAGGAGACATTTCGTAAGGACATACCACTTGGTGGAAGGATTTTGGCTTAATGAAGCCTATTTGGTCAAGGTGCATAATGGTGAGACCACCATTAGGGAATAGGGGTGAAGACGGGGGTCCGTCAGTTAGATGAACAAAAAATAATGGACACGAATTTTTTCTTTGGGCGATCAACCAAAAAATGACAAAGTTATAGCGCCTCAAAGTTTGGGAGTAGAGGCTGGTGACGTGACTTTTTAGTGAATTTTCACTTAAAACTGTACTCAAACGTGACGTCATGCGACTTTTCAAATGAATATATCTCTGCAATGTTTATATTATGTGAAATAAGAAAAATTACGTGTTAAACACTTTTTGATAATCTACCTGATAAACGAAGAAAAAAGAATTACTCATCATCCCTATTCACTAGTCATAGGATAAGGAGTTCAGTCACGTGCTCATTCATAGAGTGCACAATTAGAGGCGTGACGATATTTGACAGAATATTGTGGGATTGTCAGAATCTCTTATCTAATAGACAAGTCCGTCCGTCCGTGGTGCTGTTTCAGCGGCCAAACCGTAAGAGATAGATAAAGAGAATGTTTAAGTTATAAGTTGAGAATAGTCTGATAAGACTCCAAACCGGATGTGAGTAACGTAGCACTTCCGGTTTTCGAGAAATCACGTGATTTCTATTTCAAACGAAACCACACAAAATCTCCGAAGTTCTCAATTAATTAAATACATTTTTTTTTGATGAACATTTGGTTCACTGGTTTGCTGGTAATATTTTTAATTGGACGACCTCCGTGGTCGAGTCGTCTTTACGCCGGGTTCCATGGTGTCGCCAACTCGAGAGGTCCCGAGTTCGAATCTCGGTGGGGGCAGATGTTTGTGTGATGAATACGAGCATTTGTACTCCAGTCATGGATGTTTAATATGTATTTCTATATTGATAAACTTATATATGTACTGTATATGTATTCTATACGTTACCCTAGTATCCCATAACACAAGCCTTACAGTGCATACTTTGGGGCCAGGCTAATTCTTGTGTCTTGGAAAAAAAAATTTTTTTTACTGTGTTATTACTTATTTATTTATTCTTACTGCTAAATTGACATAGATACAGAATTTCTTAGTATGTTTATATTCGAAGTGGTTCATCCTCTTGAAAATGGTGAATTCGCGTTCGTGGTCAAGTGGAAAAGGCCTCTTGCTCTGGAAAAAAGAAAAGAAATAAAATTGATAAAAACTCAAGCATCATCATCAGTCTATTGATTTCCCCACTCTGCTGAGGCGCAAGCCGTCCATGAGAATGGAATACGGAGATTCGGTCTTGACACCACGTTGTTTGGTGGGTGCTAACGCTAACAACGGCAAAGCTACAGATTAAAGTGAATTAAAAAAAAATACTTTGATAATTTTTTGAACGGTGTCTTCCCACGTTATCTCGCTAATTGTGCAATTATGAAACCTTAACAATTTTATTTGTCATAAATTGATTAAAAATAAAACTAAATTTAGGATCTTCGTACTTTTAATGGATAATAATAACCCGCCCGTTATTTACCCGTTTTAGGATATTTTGTAAATGATATAAATCAATATTTTTGTATAGGGGTGTAGTACGTTTACTGTATATCACTGTTCGCACTATATTTATTCATATAATTTTACCGTTTCTCGGTTAACATAAAATTCACGGTGTACAGTTCGCGGCACGCAACTCTAGCGATGAACAAAACGCGGAGGGGAAAGCTGCGCGTGGGTAGGACTGGAGAGCCAATCGGCGCAACGTACGCCCGACATCTTAATTTTTTCTTCTGCGCAATCTCTTATCTATTAGACAAGTCCGTCCGTCCGTCTGTCTGTGGTGCTGTTTCAGCGGCCAAACCGTAAGAGATAGATAAAGAGAATATTTAAGTTGTAAGTTAAGAATAGTCTGATAAGACTACAAACCGGATTTGAGTAACGTAGCACTTCCGGTTTTCGAGAAATCACAAATTTCAAACGAAACCACACAAAATCTCCGAAGTTCTCAATTAATTAAATACATTTTTTTTTAAATCAGGTTTTGGTGAACATTTGGTTCACGGTTTGCAAGTAACTAAAAAAATAAGAGGAAGAAGACGAAGGCCACTCGTCGCAATCTGTGCGGTGTCGCCCCGATCGGACCGAATAACCTGTTGCGTCCAGCGATACCTGTGACTGTGACGCTACTGTACGTGTCCCGCTTGCATTACACCACGAAGGCGGAGGGGATCGCAGAATACTTGCGAACGAAGACCAATTTCTCCCTGAGGGTCTCGCGGTCGGAGTCTCGCCACGACGTGAATTTTAATTCATTTGTGGTGAGAGTACCGACTGAACATCTGGCGACCTTTTTGAAAGAGAAGCTTTGGCCGAAAGGCGTGGTGTTCCGGCGTTTTAAAGGCAGGCTACCTGACACCACTCCGCGTCACACGTCGCCAACTAAACGTGTTATTTAGATTTTGTAATTATTTTATATTCCATATCTATGTTAGACTATAAGGTGTATATTTCTATGGGCCTACGATATTTGTATGGGACTGTATACAAATAAATAAATAAATAACGGTCAGAGCTAGAGTTTCGTGCCGCGACTTATATATAAATGATCTTTACAGCTTAGGGCGGTGAGTTCCTCAGGAGACCTTAAACCGAGAGTGTTATTATATTGATATATTACTCACCCAGTCTTAGGATTGAGTCCACCCATCCTCAGAGTGTTAGGCATAAAGCAGTTGCCGGTGAACGCGTTCTGAAGAGACGGACACTGGCGGCCTGTGAACCCGCCTCGGGTCAGCGACTCAGCGTAGAACAAGTAAGCTCTGAAAATGTAAACAGCAATTTAATCTCTGTTTTATTTGAAATCAATAGGGTATTTGACAAGTTTTTTTTTATATATAGGTCCGGCAAATAACTCCACCCCACCTGCTGTTAAGTGAAGGTGAAGTCCAGACGCGAAGATAGCTCTTACAGCTGTTCTACCTACCACACCAGCCATCCTCACCCTGCCGGCATGCATGTTGCTTCTTCACGCCTCTTTTAAAGGATCCCAGGTTGTAAGAGGGAGGGAACACGTAAGCGGGCAGAGCATTCCATTTACGGATAGTGCGACAAATAAATGAGTCACCAAATTTCTTTGTACGCGTTGGAATTGTGGCCACAGTTAGATGGTGACAACGTAGGCCAGCGCGCGTTGTCCTCTGAAGGAAAGGAGAAGGTGGGATAAGAGAGAATAACTCCTCAGAACACTCAGTTTTAGAAAATGATCTCACGTTTTTTTACTAATGTTAAAAAAGTCCATAAAGATATGGATATTCATCATTCTGTTGCGTATTTCAGTAATATACCATTATATATACCATACCATTTTAAAGTTGCCACGAAAACGTTTCTCTGGACATTATGGCTTCCCACTGCTATGTGACGTCACACGAGTCATTAAAAGGTCAAACGATACAATGTAATGTCACTTTGACCGGAAGTTTACTAGCGTGTGACGTCATATTAGTTTACGCCAATTCCAGGCGTTTTCGGTCACGTGACCATAGAACAAAAAAATTTTTTTTCATACTGTCATATAGCCTAATGCACCATAATATGTGGCGGTGTTTCACTTGGTTACCTAGTGGCTTGGTTATCTATAGTATTTATTTATTCCTGATTTGATGTAGTAGACCGCGTGAGATAACAATCCGATCGCCGTACAAATCGTAACTGCCCACCCTACGAAAAATCAAACCCGGCGACGCTGTAAAGGTCATTTGCGACCAACAGAATACACACTCAAAAAAAACGAGTGTGCTTATGACCACACGACTGAAGTGAAACTTCTTTAGCTTCATCTTCATCCGGCACGAAGACTGGCCCTCCAGATTTGAGTCTGTTAGATAACAGGATATGGCAACACTTGGAGGAAAAGGCCTGCTCAAAGCCTCATCCCAATTTGGAGTCACTCAAGACATCCTTGATTAGGGCAGCCGCCGATATTGACATGGACCTCGTTCGTGCTGCGATAGACGACTGGACGCGCAGATTGAAGGCCTGTATTCAAAATCACGGAAGTAATTTTGAATAAACTTTATTGTCATACGAATCTATGTATTGTTAAGTTCTTTTTGGTATATAAATACTTACATAATGAACAAACTTGTTTCAATTATTTTCTATTAAACATGTGACAGAATTTATGACCTGCTAGGTATGTGTGTGTACAATATATACACGTATGTACATACACATATTTCATTCATTAGCTATAAGAGAAAGAGAGAAAGAAAATGTGCGAGCGCACTGCTTTCTCTTACTTATATCCCCCTATGGACTCCCGTTCGCCTCGGCCGAACATACTTTTCGTGAAGCGTAACGCACTCGCCAGCTTACCCCTCAAGTCAAGCAAAAATAAATCCACCTGGTCAATCAAACCCAATAGACAAAATCAGGCCTAATGCCTATTATATAGTAACTATTCGTATGGGGGCGTCCAAGCTTATGCTCGTAAGACGCTTAGGTACTTACTTATGGAATTTGGTTATCAAATGGATCAACTCTTTTATTGGAGTTTACTCCTTAAGAATCGATTTGCATAAATAAGGGGCCCGGTATGAGAAAAATATGAGGAGTAAAATCTATCGATGAATGACCTCGTTACGTTTTTGGTGCGCATCCTATGTCGCGCAACTTTGACAAACAAAGATGACGGATTGACATTAATATTTTTTTTTAAATCTGAACTGAAGTAAGATATTGTTTCTGATAGAGCAATGGGGACAACGAGGTATGGTACAACCATTGATGCGGTATTTTCAAGATTCGTGAACCACGTATCTACGAACGTCCATGTGTCTTATTTTAGTTACCATAAACCACTTGTCACTGTAATTAATAATGCAGACAATGTTGATTTAACTAATATTTAAAAAAATGATAATAGTCTGATAATAATAATTACATAATTTATCAACATTCCTAATGATATATTTATGCACATCTGAAATTGACTATTGTAAAAAGTTTAATGTAAAATATTTCGTCGATTAGTTATAATAAATGTTTATGAAATGAATAAATATATATTTATATATGTATATTATTTTCATTAATTTGTTAATTTACCCTTTCATATAGTATCCAGGGCCGGATTTAGAGGTCCAGAGGCCTCGGGGCAACAGAGGAGCGGAGGCCCCCTCACCCCAAATTATTTTCCAAATAAAGTAAACAATTTATTTTTAGTCGAGTTTTTCAATAAATAATATATGTAAACCCAGTAGATTCCCTTAGTATTGAACAAACACATATAAATATAAACGGAAACAAGAATTATCTGAAATTAAATCTTAGAGTTAATGAACGAAACCGAAAAGATGTTTACTAGTGTTTACTAGTTGGAATTTGATAGATTTTTTTTCCGAAGTCTCTATTGTGGGGGCCCCCCGTTTGTGGAGGCCCCGGGGCTTTCGCCCCGGTTGCCCTCCCCTAAATCCGGCAGTGATAGTATCAATTTTTTTTAAGTTAAATAAACTCTTTTTGCGTCTGGTTAGACTATCGAACTTAAGGAGTAAACTCCAGTCGTGCGTCGGAGCTGACACACACATTTTTTTTTATTTCACAATCGGATTTGTGAGCTATTGGATAAACAACCCGTCAAGTATTTATCCAACAGCTGTGGTGGTATGGTGCACCACCCTTTTACCCCCTTACTAATAAACGGAGAATAAGCTTAAACAAGTTACATCGTGTTTTGTTCATATCACTTAAGTGCCATTTGTATTCAATAAACAGAAACAAAACATAGAATAACTAATTCAAATTTATTCTTTGATTATTAACAAGGGGATTATTAACAATCTTAACGGTTAGTAAGTTAGCAAGAGGGATTTTTGAAGTGAAAACTTTATGTATTTTTGTATGGGTAAAAATGTTAAACTCGCAACTTAAAATCGCATCAGGACACACAATAAAATTGGAAAGGTTCTTCTTGACTTTCAATATATTGGACAAAACATACTAATTTTATTTTACCGTATTATAATGATCGGGACACTAAATGTCCCGATTAATCAAAAAAATAAATTTAGGTTATTACTATAATACTATACTTTCACTAGTAGTATAAAACGCAATTAATTAAACCCAGACTTAAAAATCCCTTGTTTTTTGTTTACAGTCCCGATCTGCAACCCCAAATCCCGATTTTTTGACCTCTTGTACCGATTTTAAACATATCGGGCTTGGTAACACTAGTACTGACGGTGATAGCCGTGGCCGATATTAGCAAAAGGGGGTTTTTTTTTTCATTATTCTTATTTGTTTCAGAATTGGGTTTGGTCTTGTTAATCGCTGTTGTTTGTATTATTATCAAAGATTTTTGGTCAGTCGGCTATTTGATGCCTTAGCAAGAGGGTTGGTTACCTAGCATGGTTGCATTCGAAGTCGTTGCCACAGCCTGGGTTGTTATATCCTCCGTTCACGTAAAAGTCCACGTGAGCTGCGGGTTGGTTACCCATATCGCCGACCGCCGTACGTATGGTCTCAGTATACTGGGCATCATCAGGCCTGATGTTGGCAGGTAAGTCAGGTCGATGGAGAGGATCCAGAGCTAATGGAAAATAAATATATAATAAAAATTCAGACACAAATAAAATGTCACCAACTACTAGGTGTAATTAAAACTAGTTTTTACGGGTTAATGCACGAAACTTTATTTATTTATTGACGTTTCGTAGCCTTTACAGGTTACGTCGTCAGAATCAAACTTTTATTTAACTTTAAATAAGACCGAAGAATTTAACTTTATATAATAACCGTCAGAATCAATATTAATAGAGAGAGAATATTTAAAGTTTACTAAACTTTTATTTAATAAAAGTTTGCAGTATTAACCCGTTAAAACTAGTTTTATTTAATGAGTGATGTGCGTGAAAACCTAAGAAACAAATACTTGGTGTAACTTAATATTTTGTGTAGCAAAGTCTCCTCTCTACTAGTCGCAAGTGTGATAATGGTGACGATTCTGGCACGATTCTCTAAACTTAAAGCTAAATTTAACATGATCATCCATCCTTTTTATTCTGTACTAGCGGCCCGCCCTCGCTTCGCTTCGGTGTAGAGCTGAAGTGTAGACTATAGTTTTTGTTCTCGGGCTTGTATTATACACAATGACATTCATCTATGATTCTTCTTATACCTGCATGCAGTGTCAGCCCGATCGGTTTAAAATTGACAAAGTTTCATTCCCTATTTTATCCCCTTGGGGGAAGAATTGATCAAAATCCTTTCTTACCTCCTAAAATAGATAGAGAATGACAAGGATACACTGTTGTCAAATTTAAGTTTAGGTTTAGAGAATTCTGCCAGAATCGACACCATTATAGCCTTTCTCGATAAATGCACTATTCGATACAAAAATATTTTTTCAAATCGGACTAGTGTGCTAAGGTCCCCAGGCCAGGAATGCAGTAGTTCAATAAATAAAACTAGATTCCGGAACGTATAGACAATTTATTTCGAAACTATTTAAACCTTATATATTTCAATCGAACTAAACCATACCGTGAGTATAACATTAATACAGCTCCATCTATGGAACAATGGAGTAAACATTTTATATAAGGTACCACATTGGACATACCGCCCACCAAAGGACGAACAGTCCTTTAAGAAACGAACAAATATTAAACAACTAGAATATCAAGTACATGAAAAACTTTGTACCACCTTCGAAATTAAACATGGACTGTACATAAAAATTGAAACCAATTCGATAAACTTATATCAACTAAATAATAATATCAGTTTTAAATATATCTAACATAACAAATAACTTAAGTATCACTATTTATGGGTAAAGGACAAAGTTTGGATGCAGCTCGTTGAACAAGGGAATTCTTGTAACGCAAAGTGACTACTCTGGTGACATTATCCTTTCCAGGATGCAACTGAGTAACGCGACCGTAAAGCCACCTTGCAGGAGGTAGGTTATCCTCAATTACTAGAACGATGTCGCCTATCCGCAGCTCGGTTATTTTGCGTCGCCATTTAAACCTTTGAAAAAGAGTTGTTAAGTACTCTTGCGACCATCGCTTCCAAAACGATTGTACCATTCTTTGAGTAGTTTGCCAACGCCTCAAAGCATGCGGTTGACTGTCGATAAAATCATAATCGGGGGCTATCACTAACGGTTCTCCTATTAAGAAATGACCTGGTGTCAGTGGGACCGGGTCGTCAGGATCCTCACTTGTTTGAGTTAAAGGGCGCGAATTGAGACACGCCTCAATCTGAATCAACACTGTAGCCAGCTCTTCATACGTGAGTGTTGTCTCTCCAATTACTCTACGTAAATGGTGCTTTGTGCTTTTTATTCCTGCTTCCCAAAGTCCGCCAAAATTTGGCGCGTAAGGCGGAATAAAATGCCACTCGGTTCCATTATTAGCTAAAGCTTCTGCAACCTGTACTGCAAAGGCAGAACGCTCACTGGCAAATAAAGTCTTTAGTTCTTTAGATGCTCCTACAAAATTGGAACCATTGTCACTCCAAAGTCGAGCGCAGCGTCCCCGTCTGGCCACAAACCGTTTAAAAGCCGAAAGAAATCCTTCAGACGTTAAGTCCGACACCGCTTCTATATGGACGGCTTTTGTGGCCATACAAATAAACAGACTAATGTAGCCCTTATAAGATCTTTGCCCACGACCCTTCGAGAACCTAATATTGATCGGCCCGGCGTAATCTACACCCGCTTCCAGAAATGGCTTTTGAGGTGTCACTCGACAATCAGGCAATTGACCCATTAGTTGCGTTTTTGCCTTAGCTGCATTACGGAAACATGGAATACATGCCCGTATATACAAACGAACAATGCTTTTTAAATTGATAATCCAATACCGAGAACGAATATAGTTGCAAGTTAATAATTGACTGCCATGCATCGTTTTCTCATGCGCATCCTTAACTATAAGACTAGCTAAATGAGAATCTCCAAAAATAATTATAGGATGCTTACTATTATATGATAAATTGGAATTCCCAAGGCGGCCGCCCACCCTGAGAATCTCCTTTTGATCTATAAATGGGTTAAGTGTGGATAATTTACTTTTACTACTAACGTTGCAGTTTTTAATAAGCCTTGCGATCTCTTCCCGAAAGCAAAAACGTTGGTGAAGTCGAATACAACACATGTGCGCGTCCTGATATTCAGTTACGGTCAAATATGGTGGATGTGTAATTTTCAATAACTTAATTTGGCAATATCGTCTGCAAAATGCAATAACGCGTATCGCCTTCCTTAAAGACGAATATTTGGACAATAAATCAACATGACCTTGTCTTTCAGTTACAGTATGAACTTGTATTGTTCGTTTTTCCAAATCTGTCTTCGTGTAAATTGAAAGAGGTTTACCATATTGCACACAATTATTTTCCAGACAAGGTGGACCATTCCTCCATAGGCGATTATTCAATAATTCTGTTGGGCTCAACCCTCGGGAAGCACAATCTGCTGGATTTTCTTTGGACTTAATATAAGACCACTGTGACGAATCCAACATATTGTGAATCTCAGAGACGCGATTTGCTACAAAAGTTTTCCACCTTGTTGGATGATCGCTTAACCAGGCTAAAACGACAGTGGAATCAGTCCAAGCATGCAAATCATTTTTTTTAATATTCAAAATTTTGGAAACTTCGGTAAGTAGTTTCGCTAATAAAACAGCTCCACACAGTTCTAGTCGCGGAACTGACACTTGTTTAATAGGCGCGACTCTTGTCTTGGACGTCACTAAATGAGTACTAACTTCCCCACTTTCAGAGAGGCATCTAATGTACACAACAGCAGCATAAGCTGCGTTAGATGCATCACTGAAACCATGCAACTCAACCTTGGTGTCGTTAGCACCCTTTCGAACCCATCGTGGTATATGGAACTTTTTTAACTCTACCAATTCCAGTCGATAGGTCTCCCATTCTCGCCAAATCTCGTCGGGTAACATATCGTCCCAACCTAACCCCGTGATCCAAAGTTTCTGAATAAAAAGCTTCGCTTTTACTATACATGGCGCTATCCATCCCAACGGATCGTACAAACGAGAAATCTCTGCAAGGACAGTCCGTTTTGTCCTCGCGCAGTTCAAGTCAGACTCCAATTCCACTCCATAGTGAAACTCGTCAGTTCCACGATTCCAGACAAGTCCCACCACCTTGGTCACATCATCGTCACCAAGCCCCCTGCCAACCCCCGATCCCTCCTTTACCGATTCTAATAGTCCTTCTTTGTTACTAGCCCATTTCTGCAATAAAAATCCACCCTTGGATAGTAACTCATTCATTTCTCGGTAAATCAGTATAGCTTCACTTTCGGTTTCACATCCGGTCATCAAATCATCCATATAAAAATCTGTCTGGACTCTAGAAGCTGCCAGAGGATATTTGTGACCTTCATCTATAGCTACTTGCTGTAAAGCTTTTACTGCCAAATAGGGAGCACAAGATGTCCCAAAAGTCACAGTCAATAATCTGTACGTATTAATTGGCTCTTCCGGGGTTGGCCTCCATACTATTCTTTGAAAATCCACATGTTTAGTGGCGACTTTAACTTGCCTATACATTTTTATAATATCGGCAACAAGACAAACTGGGTGAAGTCTCCATCTCATTATCGTGTGCCGCAATTCCGGCTGTAATTTTGGACCCACCATCAACGTATCATTTAATGATATGCCTTTAGCACTTCTGTCTGAAGCATTGAATACTACCCTGGTTTTGGTAGTAGTTTTGTCCATCCTTATCACGGCGTGATGTGGAAGCCATACCTTTCCATCGATTTTATCTGTGTCATCCTCAACCAGTTCCATATGCTCTAAATCTAAATATTCATTTATTACATTACCATAGTCTCGTCTCAACTGTTGATTTTTTGCTAATCTTTTTTCCAAAGATAGAAGGCGTTTTACTGCGATGCCTTTGGTATCTCCATAATCTCGGCTTATATGTTGACGGAAAGGCAACTCTACAATATAACGACCACCAGAGTCTCTGGAGGTGGTGGCACTGAAATGATCTTCGCACGCTTGTTCTTCCGGAGACAACATATTATTACCAGTAAAGCTGTGATCAGACTCAAGTTCCCAAAACCTTTTAAGGATTTCATTTTCATCTATACTAGTAATATGGAGATTCAAAATAACGTTATGACAGCTTGGAAGTCCACTCTCATTATATCCTCTGACTTGGCCCGACAGTACCCATCCGAAGTATGTATTTTGCGCTATTGTAGAACCCGTTGGACTCTTAATTAAGCCCTCCTTTAAAATATTGCAATAAACTTCAGATCCTAACAAAATGTCTATTTTATTAGGTGTATTGTACTGAGGATCTGCCAGTTGCAAGCGACCGATCTCGGTCCACTTGGGTAAGATAAATTTCTTTTCTGGTAATATAGAAGTGACTGAATTTAAAACATGTGCTTTCACTTGGAATTTGAAGGATGGGTCGTAGAGCGACTGAATATCGACCATAACCACATAGTTTGAGGTTAAGTCACTCTTCTTCCCACCCAATCCTGAGATATTGCTCTTAGAAGCAATCTTCCTCAGCCGTAACAGTTGCACAGCTGCTTCAGATATGAAAGACGCCTGAGATCCTTGATCTAACAAGGCTCTCAATATCTGAGGGTGACCATTTATCGACTCAGCTTTTATCAAAGCTGTGGCTAATAAGATTTGGTTATACACATTTCCTGTCAATAAATGGTTCGTTATATCAGTGGTCTCATTCGTCGCCATGGACGATTCCGGTTCATTTACTACATTCTCTGGTGTCTCAGTTGCTACAGCTACAGTAAGTGGATTAGGTTTGCCATGGAGCAGCGTGTGATGTTTACCCTTGCATATGCGACATTTAAATGGAGATCGACATATTTTCCCTGAATGATTTTTACCTAAACAATTAAAACAAAGACGAAGGGACTTAACTATCTCATGGCGGTTTGCTACATCTTCTTGGGAAAATTTGCCACAAGCATACAACTTATGATTTTCATTACAATGAGGACAGGTGACATCGGCCGTAACGTGTAATACCTTTGTGTTAGGAGCGGAAGTATTGAATTTCGGTTTACTTCTTGTAGGCTCTACAAACTCCAATGCGCGAAATCGCGACTCTATAAAGTCGGTAAAATGAGTATAAGATGGTAAATCTGCAGACAAATCGTGTACATATAATTCCCATTGCTTACGAGTTTCTGGATCCAATTTAGAGCTAACAAGATATAGAATTATAACATCCCAATGTTTTACCGGTATATCTAAATTTGACAATTCATGAATACAATCAGATGTGGTATCAAGAAGATCCTTTAAACCTTGAGCAGATTCACAATTCATAGTACGCTGACCAAACAACCTCTTAAGTACACAATTAGATACATACCTTTTATTATTATATCTATTTTGCAATAGTTCCCAACATTTTGTAAAATTAGTTTGTGTTATAGGGATATGTTTAATCAATTGTTCCGCTTCACCTTTTACTTGCGTCTTTAAGTAGTGTAATCTTTGAACATTGTCCAGTGACGAGTTGTTAATAATCAAAGAACTAAACAAATCTCTGAATGATGGCCATTCTGTATATTTTCCGACAAAAAACGGCAGAGAAATTTTAGGCAATCTAACAATTGGCTCGTTTTTTACATCAGGTGAATTAGAACTATTGACGATTTGTGACTTATTTGATTTTAACGCGGCGCTTAATTCTGCTTTATAAACTAAGTACAGTTCATAACCCATTTCGAAAACATCATTTTTAACATAATTGCTTGCTGACAACTCCTCAGGAAGGTAAGTTGAAATAATCTTCTCATGTTTTTCACTAAAGTTCTTGATTAATCTCTCTAAACCTTCTAATCTGGCAGTAACATATGACTCTGTAATTCTTTCCTTCGGAGATTTTTTAAAATTCAATTTTCCTTTCTCTATCTGCTTATACAGGTCATTCATTACTCTTAGGTCAGCATCCATTGTGTATAAATGTTTCGAATTATTGTTCTATGTGAAGTATGAATGTGAATATTTTCGTCAAAATTTTCTAAGTCTTTAGACTAGAATATTTCGCTCTAAAATTGGGCATAGGTTCCCCGTCTTGTCGTTTTTTGCGAAACTATTCTAAGTCTCAGCTACTATATAGCTCTAAACTTTCTAAGTCCTCTTATCTTCTCTATTTTTTCTAAGTCTTTTAATACTAAGCTTTAAGGGCGAAAATCGTACTCACAGTTTTCCTTGTATTTTACCAATCAATCTTAATTCAATGCTTAAACTTCCAGGTCCATCAACTCCTAGTTCCGATGTCTGTTGCTCCTTTTCACCGCTAGATGTCGCTATTAAAGTAATCTTTCCACTTCTAAAACACGCTGTTGTAAAATCCGCTTTTATTTACATTGAACAATAGCAACTGCGATTTGTGAAAGACTTCAGCTTGATTCTTCAAAAAACGATCCGACTCGTAAGGACCTTGTGCTAAGGTCCCCAGGCCAGGAATGCAGTAGTTCAATAAATAAAACTAGATTCCGGAACGTATAGACAATTTATTTCGAAACTATTTAAACCTTATATATTTCAATCGAACTAAACCATACCGTGAGTATAACATTAATACAGCTCCATCTATGGAACAATGGAGTAAACATTTTATATAAGGTACCACATTGGACACTAGTATTTTCTGATATTAGCGCGTTCATCCAAAAAAACAAACAAACAAACTCTCCAGCTTATATATTAGTAAGTATTAGTGATGTAACGAATAGTCGCATTCGCATTCGCGAATATTCGCATATTTTTGAATATTCGCAAAATCTCTGCGAATGTTTTGCGAATAGGAATATTAGAAAAAAACAATTTGAAGAAGTTGTAGCTCTGCCTTTCCTTGAATATTCATTGTTACACAGTTTGCATTTAGCTCGTTCAGCATCGCAAAGTGTGAAATAAGTCCATGTTTCACTAGAATTCGATATACTCATGTTAATAAATCACTATTACCACTTGTGGGTGGTAATCACTAACCTCAAAACTCACTTGTTTTATTTACGGAAAGACCGGTGCGAGCGGAATGACACTTCAGTCGGATGAGTTCATATCAACTCGGCAATTCGAACGAGACTGAACATGCCATAGACAATTGGAGCCAATTTAAAAAAAAAACTAAACATTCGCATTCGCATTCGCGAATGTCGGTACCAGACATTCGCATCCGCATTCGCATTCGCGAATGTTCAAAAAATGACATTCTTTACATCACTAGTAAGTATGTCTAATGCACAAACATAATGCACAGTGAGACCAAGATGTTGTTATGATTGTGACAATTTTATGACATTGACAGGAGGGTGCTCCTGGAGGCCATTCGCTTAACGGAAATGCTTAGGAAAACGCTAACGCTTTCGATTTTACTTTGTTATTTCTGATCGCCAAAGGTTTTCAAATACCTCACGTTGACAGGAGGGTGCTCCTGGAGGCCATTCGCTTAACGGAAATGCTTAGGAAAACGCTAACGCTTTCGATTTTACTTTGTTATTTCTGATCGCCAAAGGTTTGCAAATACCTCACGTTAATTATTTTTAAATATTGTTATTACCAATGCAAAAGAAAAAAAAGAGCGCGAGGCATTTGAAAACCTCAGGCGGCTAGAAATAACAAAATGAAATCGTAAGCGTTAGCGTTTTCTAAAGCATTTCCGTTAGGCGAATGGCTCCCTGGTGCTTAAGTGATGAAATGAAGATTACAAATTATATAAATCTGAGGAGATTAATCTAAGATCTAATAAATCTAACAGTCTCTCGATAAGAGTAATAAGACTTTTAATAGGAAATTAAAAGGCTTATATGTGTATATACCTTCCTAATATTAGTTCCGAATTCGGCCACGTGACAACAATCTTGTTCCCTGAAAACTAAATTATGTAGTTTTGTTGATAGTTCAGTAAGTCAATGAACTCATGTATCAACTTATTTGTATTTGAATTGTGATCACAATATATAAATTCTTTGAATAGTTAGTTTGTTAAATACTATTTGTTTGTACAGGTTTCACGCTGGCATTGAATTTACGAGTGGCGCAAATAATACATTTCCAATGTTGACGTATGTGAACTTAAGTTTCTTAGGAAATAATAATAAGTATATGTAAAATATTTTTATTCAATAATAAAAACGGCAGTGGAGTTTTGGATTTTTATTAAGTGCGAACAAGTGTATGGCCCGCTTGATGGTAAGCGGTCACCACGGTCACACAAGTACGAAACAAAAAAACTACTCGCGCCTAAGGGCGCTTTCAATTTATGCGTTTCTTGACGGCCTGCTGCGGTGCCGAAGCGGTACGTTTGTCGTACATTTCATCACCTCACTCATGTTATACCACCTTTAGTCAGGGTAAGGGTCCCTTAAAATTGGGTAGTGTAAATGTCGTTTGAGCAACACGGAGTTCGTTCTTACCCATCATAAATGAGACTTGTCCCTGAATTTGTCGACCGCCCTAGATCGGGTCCTTTGCTCCCTTAACTCATGTTAAACCACCTTTAGTCAGGGTAAGGGTCCCTTAAAATTGGGTAGTGTAAATGTCGTTTGAGCAACACGGAGTTCGTTCTTACCCATCATAAATGAGACTTGTCCCTGAATTTGTCGACCGCCCTAGATCGGGTCCTTTGCCCCTTAACTCATGTTATACCACCTTTAGTCAGGGTAATGGTCCCTTAAAATTGGGTAGTGTAAATATCGTTTGAGCAACACGGAGTTCGTTCTTACCCATCATAAATGAGACTTGTCCCTGAATTTGTCTGGCAACCAGTCCAGCCTTCAGTCCGCCCAGACTGAATCCGACCACGGTGAATGCATTCGCATTATGACCGGTCACTGACATCAGCCAGTTGACGAATCCAGCGACGAATCGAGCTACAAAAAAGCAAACATTATAGAGTCTCTGCGGAAAGAGAATAGGTGTGGCGAAAAACGGAACTAACATTAAGATTTTTATTTGGCAATCAAACCCAGCAATCTGTAAAACGTCAAAGTTTTGTATTGATACGGATTGTGATTTCTTGCGGTTTTTTGTATTTAACCATGTCTAAAAGGGGTAAAAACCTTACAAATACGGTAGAAAAGCACTACAGCGCCCTCCATTCTCTTTCCGCACAGACTCTAACCGCTATCAATCGCTAATACAGTGCGACCAGCGGGGCTGTTCTGTACATGGGAAACGCAAAAATTTTACAGAACAGCCCCGCAGCCTTCCTAGCAATAGCACCGCGATATGATATATAACGCGTTTATATCACGCTTAATTGTCAAATTACTATGGAGTTTGACAGGTAGACGCGATAAAAAACGTGATATAATGTCAAGTTTTTAATTATATCATCATAACAAGTTCACCAGATCGTCGATCCACCTTGTAGCGGGTCTTCCCACTGCACTGAGCGTCGTCCAGCACGCGGTCGCCATTCGAGAACCTTTCCGCCCCAACGGCCATCGGTTCTCCTCGCTATGTGTCCCGCCCACTGCCACTTCAGCTGGGCTATTCTTCGAGCTATGTCGGTGACGCTTCGCCAGGTCGCGGGAAAACGCTGGATGCGGGCAGCGCAGGACCGATCGTTGTGGAGATCCTTGGGGGAGGCCTATGTCCAGCAGTGGGCGTCGTACGGCTGATATGATGATGATGATGATGAACAAGTTCAGGCTGCGCCCGCGCCTGTTCTTACCTGAGTGGACACCTTGGTGTATGACTTGAGGTGATGGTGCGTTAGCTCCAATTCTCCAGTCCACTGTGATCACGTTCCTGTCATCGGCTTGCAGGATGGCTAGACAAATCAAATGACACCAACTTAGATTGATAAGATTGCATCATTACGAATCAATAATGAATATTTTTTCAACACATTTGCACAAGAAATGCATTTACTGAGGTTTCATATATTGTTCGAAAGTTCAAAATTACGATTTATAAAAAGGAGCGTGCGGTAATCATTTTACCGTACGCTTCCATACATGGCACCGGCCGTGCGTATCCTTTACGGTTATTTTTCAATTTCGGTCGAACCTACTTGTAAGAGCTTTCTATACCTTTTTCTCAATTTAATGTGTGATGTAGTTCTAATTTTCACCACCCGCGCGTTGCGCCGTTTGGAAATGCAAGCAATTTTCCTATTAGAAAACAGTTTGCTTAGGGTCAATTTATACTAGCACAAAGTCGAAGCGCATCGTAGCGTAAATTTCTTAACAACTAAAGTGAAGTTGCACGAATGCGCCGTATGCGCGAGAATACGCGCGTATTCTCGCGAAATACGCTTTTATGAGCAGCAGTGCTATTGCATCACTTGCCAGTTGATATATCTATCATCACAGGCTAATTTCCGACTGATGACGCGTAGGTTCGTTAGTGAGCGCGAATTCGCGAGAATGCGCGCGCACCAATCAGCGTTGGTCACACGCAGACGCGCGAATTCGGTCGAATGGGTGCGCGTCTTTTTTTAATCTCCGAAGTAATGTGTATAGACCGCTGTTGAGATAAGGTTGAGTTTGCTATGTTAATAATTTGGATTTACGCTTTGATGCGCTTCGACTCTGCGCTAGTATAAATTGACCCTTACATAAATGAGGCATAGATATGTCTACTCGTTTTTAATAACCAAAATACCGCACTAATATCATAAATAACTTTTAAAAATTTCAACAATTAGTCTAGCCCCAAAGTAAGCTGTGTAAGGCTTGTTTTATGGAATACTTGAGTAACGAATAGAACTGAGAATGGATACTGATACATGTAACATATATTATAACACATTTGCTCGTAAAAGTATGCTGCCAGAATCATCAGCGCTGCAGCAGCCCTGGTGTTGCTGTAGTATCAAGCTGAGGCAGGGACCTAGTTGGGCAAACATTTTTTTTTGTTTCATTTTATTTAGGTTAACAATACTGTTTATGGTCAATAAAATTTATTTCTTTCTTCTTCTGCTAAAGCGTCTCTTATTGCACCAATTTCAATATCATAATCTATCACAGTAAAACGCAAGGCTTATTATGTTCCGTCTGACAACATACGATACTTTCTTAAATCTTATAATTAAATTAACTTTGGGAGATAAAATATAATATATAAACATTTAATTCTCTAATTTGATTCATTTTGATAATAAATTACAACGATGTATCGGTAACAAATTCACAAAAATATTAATTTACTTTATTAGTAACACTGGCGGTTTTTTGTTACTTTGCCTAAAAAAAGCGTTGATGCGCGCGCATCGCTAATCTGTGAAAAAGTTATTTCTTGTTATTTTCGCTGTATTGTTTTTATTTGAAAATATTGTCAAATAGTGACGAATTTATTAATTTGACACCGCCATAAATCGAAAAAGGCTACACTAAGCCTCTTGCCCGAAAAATCCACGGATAGATACTTACAGTCAAACATATCAAAATTTGATCTTATGGAAAACAAACAACGGTGCAAATTCATTTTCAGAAAGTATGTACGTAGGTAGTATTATATCCTCGCAAATGTGTAATAAAACGTCGTATGACATACGCGTGGTTTGATAATTACAGCCTCTGCCTTCTTATAGCTCTCACCTACGGCTCGTGCGAACAATATCGCCTCGGCTGTAATTCTCAACTTACCGCACTTATATCGTACAATAGTTCCATCATAGATCTAGCCAATGGATCTACTGAGAATGATCGCTGAAAACGGCATGAATATATTGTCATTGTAAGCGAGAATTTTAATCGGCCATGGTCTTTCTCGATGGCGCAGGTGGATAGCGCGTTCGGCTGCGGTCGTTGAAGTTAGGCAACTTTCGCAATGGTCGGTCATTGGATGGGTGACCAAAAATCTTCTATCTCGAGTTCCTTTGTGCTTCGGAAAGCACGTTGAGCCGGCTGCATCTTCATCGGCCCGTGTGGTGGGTCATGGCCCAATCTCCTTATTCCATCCATAGGGAAGGCTTGTGCCCCAGCAGTGGGGATATTAATAGGCTGATGATGATAATGATGATGGTCTTTCTTTATGCTACTTTCATGTAATCTATCAGACCAGCTATTGATTTTGTAGCAAACCTTAAAACAAACCTGGTATGACGACGCGATTAAAATGGTCACCAGAGTTGCCATATCTTCCGTGTATCACTATCACTGTCTGTCTCCTAGTGCTGTAGTTAGACTGAGACAGAAGATTCGGGAGACCCTGCACTAGCGGCTGGCTAGTCGTTGGGTTGGCTCTGTGAATTAAATAAAAAAACAAAATAGGAGTTGTTCAAGTGGCCTTTTATGGGGCAATAGATGGCGCTGAAGCAAACTTAATCGCACTATGGTTTCGATCCCTTAGTGTCACATAATAAAAACTTTAGTTCCTTCTTTGGATAATAGATGTCGTTTAGGGATGTCGAAAGTTGAAAAAAATATCGACATCGATATTTAAAAAAAATATCAATATCGGTTTCGATATATCGCGAAAAAAACATCGATATATCGGACCAATTTTCCCAAAAATATATTTAGATCAGCCTAGCACAGTAATAATAACAATACAAATAATAATTAAAGAAAGAATTATCAAAGTACCAAATTGCCGCTACACTACATGACAGAACAGTATCTCACGAAATATGACACGCGGAATAATAATGGAACGAAAATTATCTACATAAAATAGACCCTATTTTCGAATGATGAAAATGATTGCAGGACCTCTCAGGTGTCATCTTTCGTAAACAAGACTAGACAGTCACACACTTCCACAGAATATAATGGAATTCAGCACAACCAATTCACCAGCGAAACAGATTTACAAATCATAGACAGTACTAAATACAGCACAGATCATAGATAAGTTGAATATCATTAATATGAGATCCAGTTACGATTTTTCTAGATACGAATTTAGTTGGATCGTGATATGCCGCTAATAATTAAAAAAATATCGTTTTTGATACGAATATCGATATTGGTTATTTTGTATTGATATATCGAATCAAAATATATCGGCTAAAAATATCGATATATCGAACAAAAAATATCGATATATCAATACATCGATATATTTTCAACTTGTAAGTTCTTGTATTCACAGTAAAGATTGCTGCTTGGCTTATGACAAGAGTTCAGTAGTAGAAAAGTCTTTAACAAAGGTCAGGGCGGCAAGGTGAAGACTGGAATTATAAAAATGTAGTTTATAATATCAAAGTAAATACTTTAGTTTTTTTCCACTTTTTATAAGTCGGATTAACATCTGACTAAGTATTGGTTAACTGGCCTGCATTATCTCTTAAATAACCAATAAGCAATTGAGTACTGTTTGTAATTGCTTTCTCCGAAATTACTCATCAGTTCCCTTAGCACTATCATTATCGAATTCGAATAGTTTGCGAGTGCAAAATGTCAATGTCAAATTTTGTATGGAAACTTGGACAGCGGCGGCACAAAGTACGTAACGAGAACTAAAAATCAGTATATTTGACAATGACATTTCGGACTAGCAAACGTTACGAATTCAACATTAGTTTGTGCTAAGGGTCCATATCTTCAGACCCAATTAACATGGAGCTATTGCGCCAAAAAACTGATTCAATTTTTACCTTTATTTTCTGTTTCGTTTCCTTTCCTCTTCTCTTCTTTCGCCTCTCAGTATTATTAAACCGTCCCCTCCTCTCCCTGTCTTTCCCACCCATTCGACCACCCTGGCTGCATCTCGACGCGGCCTCGGATTCTGATAGGGCTACTCTACCAACTATCGAATCCTCTACATCACAATTATGTTATATTCAACAACTTAAAATGTAATTAATAAATAAGTGTTAAAAAAAAAAAACAAAAAAACCCATCAAAATCGGCTTGCGCATATATATATATATATCTCCTAGATGCACAATAAAAAATATTCTGACAAACGTAATATTAATTAGCGTGATTTAGAAGCCGTTGCCGTTGGTACTCGCGGTAGCGTTGTGGAACCAATGATATTTAATTGTGTTTCTTTAATTGTTTTTTTTTAAGTTTTTGTTGCAATGCAAGTTTTTACGCTACAATAACTTCATTTATGTCACTATTAATGTTTTCTTCTAAGGAATTATCAATAAGAAGGAAATTTGCTTTAATAAAAGTTTAACGACTATTAATTTAAAACTAACAAATCTATCTAAACTGTTATAGTTTTTCGTAAAATTGGCGAACGAAACTCCTACAGATAGGGTTCTAATTTCTTTTTTTTTTTTAATTTCAAAATCACTAGATTTTAAAATAAGCCTACAGAATCAGAAATTTAGAACCCCTCTCACCACTTGTCACACAATGTCAGTTCGCCGACCTTCTCTCTCCCCTTGAACCTGTGACGTAATTTATGGATGATATCCAAGGCGATTGTCCGAAGCCAGACTCCTCCCCGATGTGCGGTGATCCCGGTAACTATCCGAAAATGGAAAGCTTTGCCAGCTGACGTATAACCTCCTATAACCCGGCAACGTTTAAAAGAGGCGTGAAGAATTAATAAACAAGCCGGCAAGGTGAGGATGGCTGGTGTGGCTGGTAGAACTGCTGTACCAGCTATCTGGACTCCACCATCACTTAGCATCAGGTGAGGTGGAGTAATCTGTCGGACCTAATTATAAAAAGAAGTATTTCCAGCTCCACCATAAATCACAGACCGTGCAATACAGACTGGCGCTTCTACACCAGCCCGTTGGCGTCATTCGCTATACAAATCTTTTTTTTTTCTAGGAAAGGCTTGATGCCTTAATTCGCCACCGGGACCGTGCAACGAGGATATCTGTGGACTCCTCCCTACTCATTTAATTATTCTTAAGATCAATCACTATACAAACCTAGTGAATAAATGGTACTGATTGTCTCTGGCAGGGTCGAATCTTAATGATCTTCCCAGGTTGAGCCAAAAGTCCTGAATGCTGATAGGTTCCGGTATATCTTCAGCCTGTGTCAATATGATAGGATCCGGGATAGATATTGCTGGAAATAAAAAAATATGTGAAATATTTATTCATCATAATCATAATATCATATCATCATAATAATTAATAGATACTAATGTCTCCAGTGTTGGTTCGAAAATGTGATGGGTCCCTCACTCGTGAGGCACCTCTTTTGAGATACTCGTCGCGACAGAATGAGGGAGTACTCGTATTTCAACTTTGAACTATCTCATTTGCCTTGTCATTTTGTCGAGGGCGAGGCGCGAGCACTTTTTACTTACAATTTACTTACTGATACACGCACATTAATTTCATACCTTTGAAGTGAGTTAGGCAGCGTTTATTTATTTATTTATTTGCAAAATAAGTGGTACAATAGGTGTTACATTATTTATTGAGACACGCACAATTCACCAGAAACTGGCATACAAATTTTATAAATATCCAAAAAAAATGCACTATCTATAAGCCGTAACCAAGGGGTAAAAAAAATAGCAGATTACTGTCGTCTTTTATATAAAGCCATAAACTCCGTGCGCGTTGCCAGACATACGATTTAAATCGTATTCATTTCAACGACTTTCGATTATATTCGATTTTATACGACTCGGATACCATTTTGCTGTTTTAACGCAACGTTGTTGATTTGCGCGCTCCGCCTAACCTCACTTCAAATGGAGAGCACCTCGAGAGTACCTACCTCACGAGGAAAAATAAGGACCTCCCTAATCCCCATTAAAAAATTACGAATATGTAACTTGTATTTTTTTCTCGTACGCTAGTTCGAAATAGAAAGAAATTCGAAATTGATTGGTGATTATTTGCTGCTAGCGGCTGCAAATGTAAGTAAAACTTTTTGGCTAAAAACTGCCTTAACTTAACTGCAAAGTAGAATTAAATCGATGTTTAATCAACCATTATGGCCATTGCGAGTGCGAAGAACAAAATTTTTGATGTTGTTTTTTTATTTAATCTTTCACAATTTGAAACTCAAATAACGCGATGCAAACTACTGAAATTTTGAGATATACGTTTAGTTAATTAAAAGAAAATCTGGAAGCTGGATAATGGTTTCGTCGTTCTTATTTCTACCGAGATATCAAATTAAATGTTTAAACGAAACAATTTTGATTAAAAATATTAAATTAGATCTAGTTCTTTGAGTGTAAAAAACTATTGTGAAGCTAATCAATAGATAGACGTGGAGCATTTAAAAAAAAACACATAAAATGCAAATTATATTGTACGCAAAGCTCACTATATTTGGTATAGTTTTATGAGAGAGTTTTATGTCTATTACCTAAAGTCTACATTGCCGGAGCACAGGCGTTTTTATGGATACCATAGGGAGAATGAACCATGACTTTTTTTAAAAGAGGCGCAACAAGTTTCACCCACCCCACCTATTTTTCATGGCCCTATTTCACAGGGCGTCTCTGAGACTCGGACCTCGGCTCTAGTTAGCCGTTGTCGTGGGGGGCGGGGAAAAACGCCCAGGTACGTACCTGTACCTGGTATAGCGTGTCGTGTGTAGACCGGGTCTTCGCATTTTATTTATCCTACGGGTGCGGTGTCTGCCTAATGCTAAGCTAGTGTGCACGTTTGCTAGCTGTGTAGTGTTGGTGTTTGTGGCCTGTGTGGGAGGAATCGGAGGCGCGTTGGCGCGGGTGATTTCGTCATCGGGGTAGTCTAAGACGTGCTTAGGCCGACGGAATCGGAGGGACCTACGATTGGAAGACGAGAGGGCGGGCGTATGATAACTAATCGCTTTAACTACTAAGGGGTTCGGGTGATAAATAAATACATGCATCTAACCACTCAGCGTTTGGAGTGGTTTAAGACGCGACGGAGGTACGTGGGCGAAGCAAACACTCGCGTAGGTCATGATAGGGCGGACCCCACTTGATGTTAAGTGTAAATGGAGTCCAGTGGCGAAGATAGATGTTGCGGCAGAAGGTGTGCCGCTCCAGCCACTCTCACCTTGCCGGGCTGAACCCAATCCGCTACCCTACGGAGCCCTGGAACCAGTGGCGTAGCACAGGTCACTAGCACCCGGTGCGGATTCCAAATTTGCCGCCCTCTTATTTTTGCAATCCATTATAAAAAAATTGAGGCATGGTAAAAAGAGTACTTTTATTGAATAACACTAACCTATGTATGGGTATTTGGTAACAACACCAAAAAAATGACGAAAAAAACTGAAAGAAATTAACTTTTTTTTATATTTTAATTTTTTTTCTCTATCTGCCACCTCCGCAGCGCCGCCCCCGGCCAAGTGCCGCCCGGTGCGGACCGCACCCCCCGCCCCCCCCATGCTACGCCACTGCCTGGAACCCTACTTGCCAGCAATAACACAAAACCACCAAAAGGTAGTGTTATTTTACTGTGGTGTTCTGTAAGGTTGAAGTTGCTTCCCCAGACGGGCACTCCAATTTTAACGGCTGAAATAATCCGCGGTGCTATCTTAAACGCCGACTACGCGGGCCTTTTTTTATTATTACTCAGGCAAAAACTCTATTTTCAGACGTTGGCGCCCTTAAGGGGTACACCAACGAACGGACTTCGCACCTAGCCTCTCGCAAGTCTCACGGGTGCGAAACGGAAAAGCCGTTAAGCAGTCCGCGCAGCTTACGAGCGCTTGCGGCATACTATTCGCTAAAACACCCTGCGAATACCCTCTACGCTGTTAAGTGCGGAACCGCGAAATCCCGGTTGAGGGACTTCACCGCTTCTCCGCACCCAACAGCCTACCGGCCTAGCCGGGGCTCTACGGCAGGGATCACCCGGGGCACGGTAATATTATCTATACAGTATTATGACTCCGCCCTGTCCTTGAAATAAATGCCTACGGCCGAGCGCTGCGTTGGCACGCGGTAGGGCCGCCCGCCTACAGTATTTTATGTAGTTTTGTTTTTAACGCGGGTGTAGGTAGATTACTCGTTTGTATCTTTTTTCATCCTAACCACTTATTTATATATTATTGAAAGTCAAACGAACTTACCTGTAAGTGACGTTCGACTTATATTATACGATGTGATTCGCCCGAGAGATTACATTGACACACTTGTAGTAGCACGCATTATGTGCTGCCATCGTACACAATTTTAGAGCAACATTAACCTTTGCCTAAAAAATATAACAAAAAAAATATAAAATATGCGTTCGCACTGGCGGTAACTCCACATATTCATACACGTTTGGACTAAAGCGGTCCATTGGTTCTTGCTATTTCGTGTGACCATGGGTAAGATCTAGATATCTTCATAGAATAGCTGATCAGGGACAGGGAGGGTGTGTAATCTCTCGGGCGAATCACATCGTATAATATAAGTCGAACGTCACTTACAGGTAAGTTCGTTTGACTTTCAATTATACTTCTGTGATTCGCCCTTCGAGATTACATTGACACACTTGTAGATGTTTAAAGCTACACGAAATAGCTGACTTTTAGATACTAATGTAAATTAATATAGTAACACTTGATTTGAGAATAAAATAAAATACTATTATTTAGCTCTAGATAGGTAATTTAAAAATCTATTTAAAATGTTTGTAAAGAGAGCGAGCAAAAAAGGCCGAGTTATTTTTGGATACTTCTCTATTGTAAAATTTCGCACTTGTCCAATCCGCAGTTTTCTTCATAAGCTGTATACTAACTTCTGGCTTAGTATCAGGTAAAGTAGCAGCACGTATCGTGCTATAAGAAGGTGATTATGTCTATTCCGCTGTCTGGTAGAGTTGCAAAGATACAGCGACTCGAAGTCTATGAACTAAATAATAATATTAGTAAAAAAATAAAAACACATTCCCATTGCCTCTTCACTGCTGAAACATTGAAATAGTATTCCAAGATTTTTGGCTAGACATATTGAAGGTACATCGTTATAATAAAGTCAGTAAATGATAAGCTCGATTTATAGTTGAAGACTTAATCTTATCAGTGATATTTAATTTTGAAACTTTCATTAGTATACAAATTAATATTTGACTTGATTCTAAATAAAATGAGTATCTTATGAGCAATAAAAAGAGCCAAAGAGTTATTACCTATTATTAAAAAAAAAACAGCTTTATAAAATGCTATCACATGGGTCCAAGTTTCCTCTTTAAATAATTATGCACCCTACTTGGGATTCAAGTAGTACTAGTAGTACCCGTGACAGTATATTTTGGTGACAGGGTACGAAATTTATAAATTTCTTCACAAAAACCATTTGACAAGAATATTGTTCATAATTTCTGAATTTATTTTAATAATGACATAACCGATTTTGTGCTGTCATTTATGCTAATTTTCTTTTTCTTATTGAGATATCCCAGACCACAGCGTTTCAAAAAATAGTACATAATTTTATCCACAAAAACAGTGACATTGTTTCAAACGAGCATTGTATTGTTACAACCTGCTATCAGGTATTGATGCTAACATAATATCCGCGACGTCCAGAGAATAACTTTGTTTTATGAATGGTATCCTAATAGTACTGTGACCACCAGGGCAGTTTGTGTTCTTCATCCTTTTCTAATTAATCGTCCCGCAAATAATTATATCTGAGGCTGTGCTAATGTTTTACAAAATTACTGATTTTCGTCATTAGCAAGCTCCCACCACATCAGCGTGTATTATACTTAACTCTGCAAGCGTATCATATTATTATTATCTTTGGAGCTAATATTAGATGCAAGGAAACAGTTTTTTTTTTTTTTTTGCTGTCAATTATCCCTGCTTAAGCTGTGTGAGGAAACTGAATGCTTGTCTATTCGGTGAGATTATATATGCGTAGGAGTATTTCGTAGTCTTTTATGTCTTTTGCAAATATTTTAAGACCAAAAATGTTTCTCTTGTTTCGACCGCTGTCCACAGGCAGTCTGATTTGAGCAAGTATATCTGATTGTCTCCCGAACGTATTTGGTTGTCAGACCCATCAATATTACATGGCGAAGATTTGCCTAGTAAAGAGGTTGATAAATCTATGTATTTTTGCTATAAAAGGATGCAGTTGAACTAGGTGTATTACGTACCCACACTTTTTTCTGTTAATCGTAAAGATTAATGACTCCAATATAAACTTTTGTGTATTCGTAATCTTGTTTACATTGCGCAAATATTGCAGTTTGAGTCGCATAAATTTTTAAAAAATATACGTCACAATATTTAAGCCGAAAAAGGTAAAACTTAGAGCTTTCTGTAGATCAAATCGTAAAATCGTCTTTTAAAACTAAAGAACACACAAGGCGGTATCTCATGATTTTTTTTCATTTGCAGTTCTATAACCCTCAAGCTTAGTGTGTTATAATCAGGTATAATATAATTATTTAATGCCTTTCGGTTTCGAAAAAGGCCTTTTTTTTTTACTGGTACATTTTTAAATAAGAAAAATACTGACAAGAATTGACCCTCATAGGGATCAAACACCACAATGATTGTACCGACACTTATACAATGATCTCCTACTAATAGGTATTCAATTCATCTGCTTTAAAAACCGATTTTATTTAGAGAGCAGTTAGCAAAGGCCAAGAAACTGCCGGATGTCCGAATACGTAGTCCGGACACCCAGGAAGACAAAAGGATCATTAGTGAATTTACGCCAATAATTATATGTGTATTAAAAGAATGTTATCTACCAGCCTGAGTATTCCCAGTGCTCCTGGTGTTGGTGACGGCTGCTGATTCTAGCGGCGCAGGGAGCAGGCTGGAAACACTGGCGGTGCTGGTGGGTCCTGTGGTATTGATGCGGCCGGACCTCAGCTGCATGCGCTGAGGTGCCGGTAGTGCCAGCATAGGTGGTGAGCCCCTCCAGTTTAAAGCTTCCGGAGTCGAGTGGACGCTTCCACAAACTTGTGTTTTCGTAGCGGTTTTGACTTCGTTGATATCGCAGGTAGTCACCATGTCATAACTCTTCTGTTGGGGAATCCTCACAGAAACTTATCGAAAAAGCTGACTCGATACATTTCGTGCCAAATACTTTGAATCTGTGATAAAAATGGAGGCGACACGTATTTTAAAAATTACGTCATTCAAAATATTTGTTTCAAAGTAACACATTACTTATTTTCATTTCTTCGTAATATTGAAATACCGTGTAAATACCGTTCAACGAAACAGCAATTGTTGGGTTAATTTACCCTAAACTGTGGCCAGAGAAACAGCTCGCAGGATGCTGGGCACTCGACACAAAATGTTTTTTGCGAAAAACGCAAAGGTGAGTTTAAGTCCTGTTTCTCGTTAATTGCAGGTTCAATAGGTAGTTGCAATTTTTCGCATTACAGTGAACACTCCTTGAGTTTACTTAACATATTATTTATGTATTATTGCGAAGGAAATGATTCCAAAAACCATTCGCATCATAGTTAACACTACTTTCCACAAGTTAACACAATTAAAAGTGTATTTTCATGAATTTAATAATACCAAAAGGCATTTGCATCATGTTTTACGTTGCACAATTTGTTCAATGTTATTTACTTCAATAGTGTCCGAGTATGTGACAGAAACAGTCCCATGTACTGCTCGAATCACGAAATAAGTCATAGGATTATATTTGATGTCATTACTTCTGTAATGTCGAAGTACGTGAAGGAAACAGCCCCATTGTGCTGTTCGCATCACAAAACATGTTAACGGAATGTAGTTTACAAATGCCCAATTACCGAGTAGTAATTTCGATGTACACGAAGGAAACAGTAATTTTATTTAACATAGATATAACTTCCATATTTTTTGTGAAGGAAATAATCCCAAAAAAAAATATTCACATCACACAGTGAACACTCCTTAAGTTTACATAACATATTACTTATGTATTATTGTGAAGGAAATGATCCCAAAAACTATTCGCATCACAGGCAACACTACTTACCACAAGATAACACAATTAAATGTGTATTTTCATGAATTTAATAATTCCAAAAGGCATTTGCATCATGTTTTACGTTGCACAATCTATTCAATGTTATTTACTTCAACAGTATCCGAGTACGTGATAGAAACAGTCCCATGTACTGCTCGCATCACGAAATAAGTCATAGGATTATATTTGATGTCATTACTTCTGTAATGTCGAAGTACGTGAAGGAAACAGCCCCATTGTGCTGTTCGCATCACAAAACATGTTCATGTTAAAAGAATATAGTTTACAAATGCCCAATTAACGAGTAGTAATTTCGATGGACATGAAGGAAGCAGTAAATTTTATTTAATATAGGTATAACTTAAATATTTTTGTGAAAAAAATAATCCCAAAAAAATATTCACATCACACAGTGAACACTCCTAAGTTTACATAACATATTACTTATGTATTATTATGAAGGAAAGGATCCCAAAAACCATTCGCATCACAGGCAACACTACTTACCACAAGTTAACACAATTAAAAATGTATTTTTATGAATTTAATAATTCCAAAAGGCTTTTGCATCATGTTTTACATTGCACAATTTATTCAATGTTATTTACTTCTATAGTGTCCGAGTACGTGACAGAAACAGTCCCATGTACTGCTCGCATCACAAAATAAGTCGAAAGGTTATATTTGATGTCATTACTTCTGTAATGTCGAAGTACGTGAAGGAAACAGCCCCATTGTGCTGTTCGCATCACTAAACATGTTAAAGGAATATAGTTTACAATCTAATAATTCTCTTTACAAGATGTAAATAGATTTTTGGAAGATGATGATTCCATCAGATTATAGCAACTAGGTACTTGGTATTGTTTAATTTCACCTTGAACTTTGTATTTTTAAAGATTTATGTAATGTAAGTACCTCTGAGTGTGAATCCAACAAACTTCTTTTTGGTTTTAATTTTCCACCTTGCGCAAATCTTTAATATTCAGATATTTAAAGTCCTGTTTACACTTTTTTCGCACTTTAAATATAAAAAAATAAGTAACATTATTACATAAAAGTTAAATAAATTAAACGCAAACGCAAAATTACGTGCACGATGGCCGCGACACAAAACGTGTATGAATATGTGGAGTTACCGCCAGTGCGAACGCATATTTTATATTTTTTTTGTTATATTTTTTAGGCAAAGGTTAATGTTGCTCTAAAATTGTGTACGATGGCAGCACATAATGCGTGCTACTACAAGTGTGTCAATGTAATCTCGAAGGGCGAATCACAGAAGTATAATTCCAGATATTTTGCCCGATGGAAAAATCGAAATACCTAAATATTAGAAACAAATTACGTACTAGTAGATATATAAAAAATATTCTATAAAGGTAAGACACCTTTCCAATATTTCAGATAATTTAATAAATGATATCTCTGGGTGTGTTATTGAAGAGTTCAAGCAACCAAAAACAGCAATTGTGCTGTTGTACGATATTGATCGTCGTTTGTTCTTTTCCATACTAAATTATGTAGGTATCTACTTAATTCAATCAAATATTTACAATACAAAACGCACGTTTAAGCACGGCTAACTGCATAAAAACAATTCACACCGTTCGGTCGTCGTTGCGGCGCGGCAGCGCATTCGCGACTGGGTGCCCGCCGAGAGCTCTTTGAACTCGAGTGGCGTAGGTATGACTCGCTTACCGACCGTTTGTATGAAGATAGAATACTGTATGATATTATTACCGTGCCCGGGGTAACGCGGGTGATCCCGCAGACGTGCGCAGGACTGCCCGCGCTGGCAGCTAAGCGCGCGGCCTATTGCCCACCGCACCGCTCCCCGTCCGCTGCGGTGGGCAGCTAAGCGCGCGGCCTATTGCCCACCGCACCGCTCCCCGTCCGCTGCGGTGGGCAGCTAAGCGCGCGGCCTATTGCCCACCGCACCGCTCCCCGTCCGCTGCGGAAGGATTGCCTACGCGTTCCCCTCGCATGCCCTTCCGCGGCGACTGCGCAGCGGGCCTAGTGCGGATTAGTGAGTTATAAGCAAAAACAAATTATTAAAAATTAATTCATTACCTGAAACTGCAGTTAAGCAAACCACTAAATTTAACAATATACAATACATTTTAATGTTTGTTCGTACTGTATGCACCATAGAATGGTATGCACTGAAATGAAATCCTTTTCTTATATAGTTAGAAAATTTGGTATCAGATTTAAGACTAAAGGTCACAGCTCATTAGAGCCGCCCGGCACCGCCTCGTCACGCGATGTCCACTCGCTGTCAACCAGTGAACGTCAGGTAGTGGACGGGTGAACGTCTTGCCGCGCACGCCGTCACGTCTGCATTATCAGCGAAAATTAAGTAGTTTGTTATCGTCACTAGATTTACACGTGTGTTTGCACAATATTTAATTTTACAAAGCGTGAATTGGTTCTAATAACTGTCGCGCTTGAAAAAATAATTAAATTGCATTGTTAGCTCGTAGGCAGCGCGCAGTGCATTCTGAAGCAGCTCGTTTGCAACCAGGCAGCGGCCGTAACACAGTTGTCACCCGCTACCCGCACGCGAACAGATTGCGAGCGAGGCAATCCGGCGACAGTAAGGAGTTGAGGTAGTGAGCGTACACCCATTAAAATCCATACAAAGATTATCAACCACACGTGTTGAAGCGTTGCTGTATGGATGCCGGGTGGGTCTAATGAGCTGTAACCTTAAATTGTAACGATTATTGGATTAGGAAAAATATCAATATATTTGGCAATCAATCGATTTGTATCAGCAAAATATGTTTACATAAATTAGATGTTTTTATTGAAATTATCTTTTATACATATCTTTTCAACGTCATTCATGGTTTAGCGATTAATGAATTATTATTAAGAAATTTGTTAATTGGGCTCGTGTGTTCATATCATAATATTGTATGTGACGTAGGATGATTTGTTAATCGAATTTCCGCGTAATCCTATAGATTTTGCGAAGACGCGGATGCTTAGACACTGGTGATGACAATGAATCTTACTGTTAACGAATTTTTTTACTGTTTATTTTTTCTATTAAAACACTAAATCAATTTTTTATGCTATTGTTCGATGCGACGTGTTCCCATCTTCCTATAATCTAGGGTCCTTTAAGAGAGGCTTGAAGAAGCATAGGTGCAGGCCGGCAAGATGAGGATGCGATGGTTGGTGTGTCAGTTTGTAACTGCTTTACCAGCTCTCTTCGCGTCTGGACTCTATCACCGCTCAACATCAAGTGGAGTAGAGTCATTTGCCTACCTAGTTATAAAAAAAGATTTGAATTAAATAAAAAAAAAATGAAAAACTTAATCAGTTTAAAAAAAATGACAATTATGGTAAGATTTATTTTTTAGTTTGCATTTATATAGTACGTAAAACAACATAAAACATACTGAAGTATCGAGGAATGCGCAGTAAAGTATTGGCGGGCGCTCCCACATTTAAATTAGTCTGACTAAGGGTTGGAACCATTAAAATGGTCTGGCAATTGGAAAAACACACTTTTATAATAATAATAAAAATATATATTGAGGGTTGCCACAAAACTAATTGTCTGGCAATGGGTTAGATCATTTTCTATTACTATGTATAAAAAAGGGGTTTTATATTTTCACAGATTATGCCTAGTACAAAAGAGTGTATTTGTTACCTGTTACCTGCCAAAGCCACCAAAATCTAAATTTCATAGTGATCCACTGTTCTTATCTGTGCTCGAGGCATGCGCTGAAAAACTTTCATCTTTTATAGAATAACGAAGGTCCAACGGCCACGGGCTGTTCTATTTATTTAATTTGCTATATTTCACAAGAACCTTCAAATCTGACTAAATATCTGATGCATCAGACGACAATGATTTAGATTTATAAATTTTCATGTCATCCACAAAGCAAGTTATCTATAGTAGTGGTGGGACAAGTGTCAATATCATTTACAAAAATCTAAATAAGAGTGGGCTCAAATTTGACCCTTGAGGTACTCCACTAGGTACAATGACCCTACTAGTACTCTGAATCTTAGCTTTTAACCTTTTGTCTTATTAATTTCTTAGTATTCAAGTCAGCATAAATTGTTAATTTAAAAATCTAGTACAGTAGACCCGCCATAATCTGGACTTGGTCTAATCCGATACCCCCTGTAATCCGACACGCCTATCACTGTTAATTAAAGATAAAATCAATTGAAATAAACTTTATCGATTTGTAATTTGTCGGATTACAAGGTACTCTTATTCAAAAAAATCCGGACTATAGAGGGTGGTCTTACAGTACTCTATAATCCAACATAGCCCTGAAAAATGTTTGTCGGATTACCGCGGGTCTACTGTATAGCGGCCACGTATTCGACGGCGCGAAGTGCCTTAATAAAAACTAGCGACCAACCATGACTTCGTTCGCGTTAACTTTAGTTTTTTTAAATCTCACAGAAACCTGACATTTTTCGGTGATAAAAAGTAGCCTATGTCTCCATCTAGGTCATAAAATATATGCGTACGAAACATCCAAATCCGTTTAGTAGTCTTTACGTGATACAAACATATAACAAACATACATGTTACTTTCACATAATAATATAATATATTTACAGTCATAAAAGTATCCAACCCACTAGTGTAGTAATATTTATTTTATTACATTCATATTCATGTTTAATCTTCTATTTCTCTCACGTGCAAAATTTCTAAAAATAAACAGCACGTTGATTATTTACGATTAACATTCTTAGAACGATAAATATCAAAATCCATTATTTTCATAAATTACCTACGACAATCATTGTGTTATGGACCTATTCGATTATGATAAAACATTAATCAAATATTATCTAGCACTAATTACATGACTGATGGCATTATGTATAAGTAAACATGATACTTTTAACCTAAATTATCATTAAAATTGTGCCAAATATTTCAAATATTAGTTGTATATTAAGATCGCTACGGTATATCGAAAAGTAAAACTTTAAAAAAATGGGCAATCTTATACTTTAGATTTTCGGACAATCAACGGCGGATATATGGCCAGTCCTAAAGACGCAATTACGACCGCACACTCGACACACATTCTCCAGACCTAGGTCCTTAACTGTGTGACCGGCGCAGGAGTTTTTTTAGGTTTTAGTGGGTAGGGCCTCGCGCATTTCCCCAAACCATAGATTTGCACAAAATGAGCAGGGAGGAGTCTCGCATATCCCCGTGCTGCTACTCCCGGTAGGCGGGGAAGACCTCAAGCCTTTTCTAGACATGAAAAAGGGCTTATAATAGGTACATTGCAATTCATCTTACTATACACTAGAAAAAATATATGACGGATAAATTTTAAATTAATATTGCAGTTCATTTGTATTCCTAATTTGTTAAAAAAAACCTTTATAATGTATAAATGAATATCTGATGGATAAGGACTTAATCGAGTAATATATAAATATGATTACGATGAATGACATTTAATATTGTGATGACTTTTGAATTGAAAGGACAATCTTAAAATTGGCCTAAGAACCAACACCAATTTGGCATTTATGATAATTCTTAGTATATTTTTTGCGATAATTATCAGTATTTAGATTGTGACGGACACTTCCAGTTAAATAAGCTAAATTAAAAAGTTAAAAAATAATCTGAGACAATAAATACCATTTTATGTGTATAATCTATGGCAGCGCTGCAAACAAAACACTCTTTCTTCCTAATGCCGGCACTTCACTTGGCTATTCGTATTTGCTATTTTGAAACATGACATCAGTCTGTCCTTTTCATTCCTTATTAAGCATGACAAGGACAAACTGTTGTCAAGTGAAGGGCCGGCATAAAACTGTTACTCTGTGGTTGTGGTGCATGCAGTTTGCATTCGTAGTAATCTGTGGCATTCATGCATTCCAAAGAGTAGTATAATAACCGGAAAGTGCATTCTCGTTTCGGATTACCTGTTGTGTGTGTTTATTTGCGATTGTTTTTCCTTTAATTTAACTATTTCGGCTATCTAATATGCCATCGATGTAACCAAAAAGCAGAGCCCTTATTACCAAGTCCTAGAGAACCTGTGCTACAACATCCTGAGAGGATCATACTGCTAAATTATTCAAGAACACCTGATACACATTCACGCTGCATATTTACACAATATACATGTGATATACAAATAAATACAATAAACAATATGATACAATTATGTGAAAAATAGTCAATATATAAGAAGCAAAACTACAGTTTTTGTTGACGTGACAACGTCTTAAATTAGGTTGCGGCTGGGAGTCACTTATGAAAAAGTGTAACGCTCGGTAACGTTACGATGAGTCTCTCGTGTTAAGTTTAAGTTTACATGTACAATGTTTTAGTAAACAAAATATATTTCTATAGTTAAAGTTTGTGCAATTCTTATTTTCATTCAATTCCTTGTTCCTATTGTGCAATTTAATTATATTCATATCAATAAATATTCTACCGAGAAAAAGACGTTGTCACGTAAAATCTTCGCCCGTAAAACCGACTTTACAGGCAACCATTTTTTTTATTCATGATTTCTATCAAACCAAGTTTTTCGTAATAGTTATTCTTTAAAATCGCACCGAATAAAATGAATTAGTTGTAATATTAATTAATTCACTTCATACTGAGTTCATACTAAATTCATAGGTTATATGTTTATTTATACCTATGTTTCATTGAATATTAAACATAACCTCAAAAAAGTTTTAGTTTTCCTAATAATTTAAGTTCTCTGAAAGTGTCCGTCAATAATCTTTGTTTTTACAGTCATTTACTTACGATTTTGAACCTAGAAAATAATATTTCATGATTGTTGGTTCTTAGGCTAACTATGTATGGACGCTGAACAATGTCCTTTATTGTAATTGTTTTTTTTTCTTTTTTTTTATGTAGTATAATAATGTGTATCCGATGGATAAGGACTTAAACAAATGATAAGAAGTTTAATTAAGATTACTGACAATTATTATTATGATGACATTTTATTTTGAATTGTAATTTAATTTTAATATTTTACCGTTATTAATTCTATATTTGTATGCCTCATGGCTGGTCGTAGTTGGACTGTACATTTAAGCATAATAACCATGTATTACCTATGTACCACAAATAAATAAATAAATGAAATGAAATTAAATCTGAATACAACTCTTTATCATGA